TTTAACGCTATTATTTGAAAAGACCGCTACTTATTACCATTAATTGAAGAAACCCTTATTAAAGTAATTAAAGCCTAAGTGTTTATGAAAATTAATATTTGATAAACGTTTTATTATATTCCTATAAAACCGGAAAATAAGGAATTAATTACCTTCTGTACTAGTATAGGGGCTTTTAAATATAAGGTATTACTATTTAACCTTACTAACAATCCGGCCAACTTCTAAAATTTTATTAGTTCGGTCTTAGGCGAATATTTAAATAATTTCTATACAATTTATATTAATAATATCTTAATATATTCGGACATACTAAAGGATTATAGAAATTACGTCTAAAAAGTCCTCTAGAAATTAAAAGAAGCCAGCTTACAAGCAAACTTCAAGAAATATAAATTCTATATTACTAAAATTAAATTCTTAAGCTTTATCGTAAGACGAGAAAGAATTTCAATCGATCCCAAAAAAGTAGAAATTATTAAGGAATAAATAGTACGGTCTAATTTAAGGAAAGTACAATCATTTTTAAGGTTTTATAATTTTTATTAGAAATTTATCAAAAATTATAATTACGTAGCGCATCCCCTTATGAATTTAATACGGAAAGGAAAAGCCTTTACTTAAATTAATAAATATTAAACCGCTTTTAAAGAACTCAAAAGATTATTTATAGAAGCTCTACTCTTAAAATACTTTTGCTATAACGTAGAAATAAAAATAAAAATAAACGCTAACAATAAAATATTAACCGGTGTACTATCTTAACTATAAGAAAATATAAAAGAATAATACCTAATTACATTCTTTTTAAAAATTATATAGGGCGCCGAATATAATTACCCTATTTATAATAAGGAATTATTCGCTATTATTAAAGCCCTCCAAATATATCAAGCCCACAATCGCAGCATCCAAGTTAGTACGTAGGTAATAGTAAATTTTAGGAGAGGTTATAATTATAAGGGCTTTAAATTTAACGGACGGAGAAAATATTTCTTTACCTTTACTTTTTTTAATAATAATAGAACGCTGGTTAGTAGGGACTTCCTTACCTTTATTTTCCTTAGTGGTAATAGGATAACGGCCGATAGAAGCGGAATTGTTAATTAGGTTAGGGGGATTATAGCGGAAAATAATAGATGAATAAGGTTTAAAAGGAATAAAAGAAGCTAATAGAAAGGTATTAGTAAATTTATAGGCTAGGAAAGTAATTAATTTAGTATAGGTTGAAGAGGGCCTTCTGTACGAGATTATGGGACTTTTTAATTCGATACCGATAAGAGCCGTTAAAGAAACGTTAAGAATTTTTAAATGAAATATTAAAAGATTATTACCTTTAATAGACGTAATAGGTTAATTTCGAAGAATATAGGCGTAATTTATAATTTTAAATTTATTAGGGTTAGTAAAAAGGGGGGTAACGGAGTACTATAGTAGGTAAACTCTATATAAATTAATAAGCCGCTTTTAAAGGAAGAATTTTCCTGGCGATGGGATAGATTTTCGTAGTAGGTTTAATAGGGGGTAAAGTTATTGGAATAGGAAATATAATTATAATCGAAGAAGTAATAGAAAGCTTGATTTTAGACGAAGAGGAATTATTAATTTAAATTACAAAGGCTAAAATTAAAGGATTTCTAATACGAAATAATTTATATAAATAATTAGATAGGCTAAATTCCTAGAAAAGGGTATCGAAAGGATTAAGAACCGCTGAAAGGAAAGTAATTATATAAAATACGGAAGTAATTACCGTAAAAACCCTTAATATTACGTTAATAGAATTTATATTTCTCCTTTATCCTAAAGGTAGAACCTATTTTTAAAATTCTATAGGAGAAAAAAGGATATAGTTAAGAAGATAATTGATAAAGGAATTTAAAACGACAGGATTATATTATTTACTAGGCGAAGAATTACCTTCCTCCGAATTAAATTATAAATAGAAATAAATAGAAATAAAAATTTCTTTATTTTTAAAATTAAAAGGGTTTTTAAAGCGAGAAAGGCCCAGTTTAAAAAGAGGGTTTAGGATTAGTTAATTGAGGGGTAATTCGGGGGCGCTAATTTATTAATATAAAGGCGTAAAAATAGTAAAAATATTATTTAAGAAATTTTAATAATAGAAACGCCAGCTATTATTATTACCAAAGGATATATTGACGGAATGCTGGGGTATATTATTTATATAATATAAAAATGTAAGGTCGCTACTAATAGGAATTTTATTACTTTTTTAGGTAGAAGGATAGTTATGATTAAAAGTCGGCGTAGTATTACGCTTATCGGGGAAAATAAAGGAAAATTTAAAAAAAATAATAATAAGAAGATTTAATTTTTAAATACCGTTAAAAAAAGAGATATTTAATTTTATACGATCTACGGAATTATTAGAATCGTCGCCGGAATTAGAAAACGATCCGGAATTAGAAAATAACTTAGAATTAGAAGACGGTTCGGAATTAGAAGAATTAAAAGAGTTAAAGCGTTCAAAAAATTTAAAAAAGTAGTTAAATTTATTATTTTTAAGGATAAGACTAATTGCCGAACTTTCGTCGATAAAGAACTCCACCTCACTATTGGATTCGTCCTCGTTGGTAGAGGGGTAACGTTTATTAATATTTATATCCTCCTCAAATTCTTTATAATTAAAATTAAAAAATTCTAGGATAGTAGCGTTACTATAAATTTACTAAAGACGGAAACGAATAAATTCGTTATTAATTGTATAGGGAATAGGTAAAATAAGTTAGAAGTAATCTTTTATATAGTAGATTAAGAAAAGTGAAGGATTATTAAAGCGAATTATTAGTAATTAATAGCTATTATTATTACTTTCGTCGTCGGAAATATAAAAATAGGCGTTGAAATTAGGTAAACGGTTATATTAAAGAAGCGACATAGGATAAGCGATACGAAGGCCCGTATTAGCGTATAAGCTGGGTTAAGGAAGATGGAGTTTAATATTATTATTTAAATTCTAATAAATAATAATTCGGGTAGGTATATAAGCCGGAAGGAGGTTAGTAGTAAACTTCTACGAATTCTTTTAAAATTTGCGCTAATAATTTATAAATTCGTAGGTATATTAGGTAGTAAATTAGTCTAATACTATTATAGTAGTAATTAGAATATTTAGGGCTTATTTAGCGGTAAGGAAATAATTAATAGTTTAAATTATAGTATTAATATATCAAATGGGGTTGAAATTAATTCCGGGATTTCAATTAAAGTAAAAATAATTAATAATTCCAGTAGTTAGGCGCCGGAAATTATAAACTTCCTCTACAATTTGGCTAATAATAGTATTTTTTACCCTAAATAGACGTATATTCCTTAAAAAGTTTTTTTAACTAGTTATAGGACGCCAATATTAAATATTTCGCTTTAAAAATATTAAAACAGATACGTTTAATAATACCGGTCCTAGCCGAGGGATTGTTAGTATTAGTACTTATATAGAGTTAAATATATTTTAACATATTTAGGACGTAGTACTAATAAATTTAGAATAATTTAAAATATTCGTAGGGGATTTTAATTACTAAAAATTAACCGATAAAGTAGATTAGAAATAAAGAAAGGATAATTTATAGGGCGATAAATTTCTTTCTACGCTTAGTAATATATATAATTATTATTATAATTTTCAATTTATTAATAATAAAGGAATAGTAAATTAAGGTAGATAATTGCCGAATAAAGACTATAAGGAATATTTTTACTATTTTAGGAAGTAAATTAGTATTAACGCCTCGTTAATAAATTAAAGGATTTAGTAGGGAAATATTTATAGGGTATTAAATAAACGGAAAGCCTTTAGCGGGATTATAGAGGTATTAACGAAGGATATATTCAGTTTAAGTAATTAGGAAACTGGTAATTTTAGGAAATTTAATATTAAGAGGCGCTGCGGGGTCGCCGTTAAATTAACGTTCTTATATAGGAATAGGTTAATTTATATTAATTATAGTCGTAGTATAATTATTAAGGGAAAAAAAGAAGTAAAAGAGAAGAAAAAATTCTTTAATTTTAGAGAAAGAAAAAACGAGTAATAAATAGTTATTCCTTAATATAAGTAATTGCGGTGGGTAAGCGTTAAGAAGGCTAGGCGTTACTAGGGGGAGGAATAATGTAATATAATAAATATATTTATAAAATAATAAATAAAAGCGAAAGGTCGCCGACGAAGGGCCTACTTATACCGCGCTAAAATATAGCCGACTAAAACCTAGGCTATACTTCGAGGCCGGGAGGTACGGCTAAATTATAAAGGATTATAATTATTAGAAGGGGGGATAATTGTAAGGTTATTATACTAAAAGGCCTAAGAATTAAACCCGAAGAGCGGAATATTATAATAAATTAATAAGAGTAATAAAGCGGGGCGAGGGGGCCGTTATAATGAATAGTAGAATAGGTATAATAATAATAATAGAGGCGTACGGTCGGAAGCCGGACGCTGGATCCCGGGCCTACTAAGGGTTCGTATATAAAATAAAAATCCTTATAACTTAGCTAGACATTCTCTACCAGCCAAATTAAAGTTTACTTTTTAGAATAGACCTACTATCGTGTGCTGAACGTGTTCTTAGCCTATCGTGCTATGACTTTATAGTAAATTAGGTTATAATTGCGGTTTGACTTGTAATGAAATACTGGACGGCCTTCTCTATACGGGATATAACGTCGGGGTTAAATATAAGTATAATAAAAGTATATACAAAAGATAGAGTATGACGAGACGAGTAGAATGAAGTTATTTATAGTACAATATAATAAAGATTGGTAATGTTCTAGTTGAGTGTAGTTTCTATACCGTTACAGACCTTGCACGTTACATATAAAAAATCCGACTCTCAAAGGGACGATAAGAGTCGGTTGGCTGGCTGTAAGCGGGCCCCCAAAGGGTGGCCCCACATGGCTGTGGCCAGTGCGTGCACCTAACCGACGAGTATCTGAGCTAGCAAGGCCTTCGACCAATCTTCTACTGAGTTGATGCGGGTCGCAGGGTTTCTCGGGACCGATCCAATTACAGGATTGGCTTGAGTAAAATCAAATCCTCTGAGAATATGCGGTACATCCTGAACATTTGCTCATTCGTATGACGGTCACATCAATTTCTGATTTGTACGTAACATTGCGAGGCGAATCCGATATATTTTGGTTCAAACAGTTCCTCGCGCGCAGGGTTATCCAGGAGGGCGATGTTTCCAGAGCACCCTTTCCCTGCGCTGACGCCGCTATCTTTGGTCGTAGCCAGAAGCACATTGGAGATCCGCCAACATATCTCGACTGCCCCCCCTTTCCATTCCTGGAAACTGTGCTATGCAGTCCTGGCCATGAAGATTCGGTGCCATGACCACGTCATATCGTCATCACCAGTTTTTGTTTATCTTTCGTCAAAGCAAGCTCTTTACTCGAGGGCCTTCTTGGCGAAGGTGGGGAGAATGAAGCTGGCCTTGTGAATCTCGGAGTTGTAGTAGCGGCAGAGCTTCTCCTCCTCCTCCTGGGACCAGGAACGAAGAGGAACCTTGACGTTGGCGTTGGGGTCCTTGGAGCAGACCATGAAGCCAATCTGGCCGGAAGGGTAGGTGGGAATGGTGGTGTAGGCGTACTCGGCGACGGGGAAGACCTCCTTGCAGTCCTTCTTGAGCTTGGTGATGAGAGGAAGGTGGAGCCACTGGTTCTCAGCTGTTTGCACGAAGATGTATTAGTTATTGGGTTTCAAGTGGTGCGAGGTCGTTTGAGATTTGACAAAGGAGATGATTGAAGACAGTGACAGCGCAAACAGAATCCGAACTCAAGAGGAAACTTCGCCGTATGTGTGAAAGTCGAGACGAACTACCACTAGGTAGGTTCCTGAGGGACCGCATAGGATTGAAACAGGCAGGTTGAATGCCTGGCCTAAAACCAATTCCACTCAGGGCTCGATCTTTCTCGAGTAAAGGAGACGTACAACCTTGTGTGGTAATGACACCACCCTCGCGGAGGGCGTCGTGGAGAAGCTGGAAGTAGGGCTTCTGGAAGAGAGACTCGGCGGGACCCTCGGGGTCGGAGGAGTCGGTGATGATGACATCGAAGGTGTTCTTGAAGTCCTCAAGGAACTTGAAGCCATCACCAACGTGGACCTTGACCTTGGGGTGCTCGAAGCCAGCAGACATGTGGGGGAGGAACTGCTTGGAGAGACGGATGACAGCCTGTGCCGGAAGAAAGGTGGTTAGCGAGCGGATCGGATGCAGGGTCATTGATCTGCGGATCGGATCGAACATACCTCATCGATGTCGCAGAGGATGGCCTCCTCAACGCAGTCGTGCTTGACGACCTCACGGAGGACACCGCCATCACCACCACCGATAACGAGGACCTTCTTGGGGTTGGGGTGGGAGTTCATGGCGAGGTGGGTGATCATCTCCTGGTAGGAGAACTCATCGCGCTCGGTGCACTGGATGACGTTGTCGAGGACGAGGACGTTGCCATGGTCAGTGGACTTGAAGATCAGGACATCCTGATACAAGCTCTTCTCGTGGTGGAGAACCTTCTCGACCTTGAGGGTCATGGCCTGGCCAGGCCACATGTTGGAGATCTCGCGGAACCAGCCATCTGTTCGGTGTGGTTAGCCAGTCTGCCATTGTCCAACACAAGCCGAATCCGCATGACACCAGTCTGCCATCCAGTCATATCAACATGCAACCTGTTGTCTTAATGCGAATGGGATGTATGATGAGGTGCATTGGGACGAGGAAGAACAACATGTCATGCTGGCGCAACAGCCACGGGCCCTCGACAGCAACAGCATCGCGATCCCCCGTATTACCGTGCTGCAGGACAACAAGACATCCAACGTGCCATTACTGTTGTCCATGATTGCGCACACCATGTGTCGTGAAGCTTGGTGCAAGCCGACTCATGGGAGGGGTCCTCGTTGCGTGTGCCACAGGAGCGCCGATTTGGCATTGCACATGGCGGGGTTGCGATAGCTTGCGGCCCGCAATGAGGTAGTTCACGTCAATGGGATTATGGATGGAGGGGTAGCACGCCGGTGCAGCGAGAGACGGCCGTCAACGGGAGAACACGTACCCTGGATCGTGGGGTGAGCGATTTCGGACATCTTGAAGGATTTATAGAGACCGGTCGACCTGGAGAAGAAGCGGTTGTTGAATTGGCAGGAGGATGTCAGGATTCGAGTCCTGGGGAAGCAGCGACGGAGTAGGAAAGCCAGCGTGAAAACTCAATTCCCTTGCGTCCTGAGGAGGGGCCACTGCAGTGACCACACACAATTCGCACTCTAAAAAGGTCCAATCACACCAATCACGCAGGTCTCTGCAACAAAAATTTCTGGACCTTCCCCCCTCCCAGCACAACGACCCATGAGCGAATAAAAACGTGGTTGACAGTGCAACTGTGGAGAGACATTGTACACAAGCCGTTGCATTTGAAAGTGCAGCTGTGCGTGCAGATTGAGTGCAGAAGCACGTGGAAAACAACTGGATGGTTGCCAGGAGCAACTGTGAACCATCCGAGCTTCATGAGCACAGGACAATTTTCATCCCAATGCCAAGACCACGATAACGTACGATCCCAGAAAGTCTCTACTCGTCGGTTAGGTGGGAACGCTTGCAGCCAGCCAACCGACTCTCATCGTCCCTTTGAGAGTCGGTTTTTTTTTACATATATCTTGCAAGTGGTGTATCTATCAAAATCTCACTTAGCTATAACTTCATCATTTTGGATCGTACAGCATTGTGAATAGCCTCATTCTATTTGTCTTGACTCCCTCTATCGATTTATCATAGTGCATTTTGACCCTGATGTTGCTGCGTGGGCGGAAAAGGCTGCACGGCATTACCTCGCCCGCCAGAATCACCAACTCGAGGAACATCAAAAACCACCACAAAGGCAAAACATCATCAATTTTGATCGTACGGCATTGTGAACAGCCTCATTCTATTCGTCTTGATTACCCCTATCGATTCATCATACCGCATTTTGATTCCGATATTACTACGCAGACAGAAAAGGTTACACATCATTACTTCGTCCGCCAAAAGCGTATAATACGTACTAGCTCGAGGAATAGTAAGAACCACGGCAAAAGTAGCAAAACATTATCAATTTTAATCGTACGGCCTTGTAAATAGCATCAATCTATTCGTCTTGATTACCTCTATCAATCCATCATAGTGCATTTCGATTCTGAGGTTGCTGTGTTGGCGGAAAGGGCTACACGGCATTACCAAAAGCGTAAACCGCTGCAAAAGCAACACGGGCCAAGGTGGGCTTCTCAACACCACAACACATTACGACATTTTGATTATATTGTATATATACTGCTGAATGCGCGTGATCGAGATGATCAATTTGAATATTTTACCATCTTTTTTGCTTATATTTTGGTAGAGATATGGATTGTTGAGGTTTTTGAAAGATACGCCACTTGCAAAATATATGTAAAAAAAACCGACTCTCAAAGGAACGATGAGAGTCGGTTGGCTGGCTGCAAGCGTTCCCACCTAACCGACGAGTAGCGCGTAAATCCTTCTGAAAGCACTCCAACCAAGTTTCTCTTGTTCTCTTTTTTTTCCCTTTTCCATGTATTATGAAATACCTCTACGAAGAGAGACCTGATACTTCCGCTCATATGCGAACTTCAAATACAGCCATCATACGTTTTCCATGTGTTCAGTCCAAGGCGTTCGAAGTGTTTTGCGGCCTTTGAAGCCTTGGGGCGAATAAAGGTAACAAGGATCAACGGACTGTACGTGGAATGACTGAATACCTCTATAGGACGGGAAGTATGCCTTCAGTTGCCACTTCCATTCAACTCACCTAGCGGTACACACCATGGACACGATGTCAAAGTAGCTAGGTCAAGTCTATATATGGTACACCGAATCTGGCATGCCGTGGGTCATCCCGGGAGCTCGGTCGATAAAGACGAGACACGCACAACGGTATCTGCCAGAACATTTCCCTTTGCTCCCAAAAATGGTCATCGACTTCGGGCGTAACGTCATCGCTGGCTAGGACATGGCGCTTGTGCTGTGTACCAGCATCACTGCAGACGGCTGGCGAGGTAAGACTATTTGTGCCACATACCGCGAGCGGTCAGGAAAAGGAGACATGGCGAGTTGAGGCCGGAGAGCTACCCAGGCTGAAGCACTCGGTAATGCGCTCACCAGCGCTCTGAATCCAGCGCATCTCGAGAAATACCGACTGTACCCAGCGAACCCGTGATGTTAGGGTTGAGAACCGCGGCGTGTGAGATCCGGCATGACGACGGCGTAGACGTGGCTCTCGATTGTGCTTCAAGGTTTTCTTCCTTCCTCGACGTTGAAGGCTTCATACTACAGCTCGTACCGGCCGAGGTCTTGGTCTTCCACAATTCATCAGAACAATTTCACAAGAGGCGAAAGGGAAATTATTCCCAAGTACGGTCGCTGATGTCGATCTCATGCATGGATCGGGCTCGATGAGGACCGCGGAGCGAGATAGATGGAGGGCGAGAGCCGTGGCCAGCACGTTTCATGTCGTACAACTTCGATCAGACACTGCAACCAAGCAAGGTCGAACCTTGATATCCTAGAATTCGGGTTAACGAACCATATCATATAGCAAGACATATTATTCACAGACAGCACAGTGAAATTGTATGGTGGGTTGTACCATGGCTGTGAGCATAGCTTGCTCTCCACGTGGTGGTGGTGGTGGTGCTTGGCTGCCAGATCGGGATATGAATCGACAAAAGTAAGATATGCAGTCGGGGCAGTGTACGACAAAAGTGGAAGGTCTCAGAAGTTTATATGAATTCAGGAGGGAATCATCGCAAAAAATTTCGCGGGCCAATCCGCTCCAGATCAAAAGCAATATGGAATCGCCAGCAAAAGGAACCGAGGTTGCAATTTGTTCCGAATCCCTTGGCGAGCCTGGACCCGTAGAACATTCTTGGCGTGTTCTGTCGCTGTGAGGTTGTATTACGCTATCAACGGCTCTACTGCGCACACAGTAGTTGCCCTGGATCCCCGGCCACCGATGCCGATCATCATAACGGCGTCCGGGTCCGCTATCAACTTAGAACAACGACGGGAAGTGGTTCCCCGAACCTGACGGGGCCGGCGAGCGGCGAACGTTCGTATACTGTGCTGGAACCGAGTGCAACGCATCATGGCATTTTCTCGTTTCCGAATTCTCGGCACGGCTTGCTTTCACAGGCTCAAGAAAACCAAACAACATATTGCTGTTAATGTAATGGCAGGGTGGCGGGCCTCAGAATGTCAACATCAAGAAAGCGACTGTAAATGTCCCCAAGGCTCCATGTTGTAGTCTCCTTGTTAGAGACAGTTCAGTTGTACATAGTAGGATGGTACTCCTCGAGTCATCGAGGTTTCGGGGCGCCAGGCTTTTCTTATAGAAGAAGGGAGTTGAGAGGTTGTTCCCATCTACCTAAGCCGCACGACAGCCCTCAAGTAGCTCCATCTTTATTCAAGCACCCACTGTGAAGAATTGCACCAACCCAAAATCGAATTTCACCAATCGGTTACTTATTCAATGCCCACTCTCCTGCGCAAAATTCAAGTCCAGTGCCAGACTGCCGGTTCTGGCTGTTCGATTTTTTAGAGGTACCGGCCTCCTTTTCGAAGAAAGCTTCACAGCTAGTGAGATCGACAATCTGCCCCTGCATCTGCCGCTAGCACACGCAACGCCCGCACACGCAACTGCCGTGATATTCACCACCGGGACGATCATCACCCTTCCTGGCGTCTCGACCAACGTCCTTGATGGCGAAAATGCTTCATGAATCCAGAACAAGGCTTGCCTGCTAAGAAAATGGTCCACGCGGCCTTCAGTGCACCGTTCGCTGAAAGACATGGCAATGTCCCCTATTTGCAGTTCGTCGTTGTTGTTGTTGTTGTTGTTGTTGTTGTTGTTGTCCTGGATGCTTTTTCTCGTGCAGGGACATCCCATGTACTGTAAAGTCCAAGACCTGGAGTTTCTGCGGACATTTAAGACGGGCGACTTTTCATCAGCCCATCGACCATATTTGCTTCTTATGTTTCTTGTGAGCTCTGTTACCGCCCGGCAAACTGCCCGGCAAACTTGCATATTGGAATCGTCCAGGCCCAAGATAAACTGAGACATTCCATCTCGATAGGTACGGATAGAGAAGCGAAAGCCCCTGGGCTCAAAGAAGGTTCTTACGCTTTGCTGCTCTTGCCCTCCGAGCCGGGAGTCAGGCCTGAAAAGAATGAGTTGTCGCTTTCAGTCATTGTGACACTGTGCTGCAAGCCTGATGAATCCGGTGCTCCTGATTCCTGTGAACCAGCCGCATCCGCGAACCCCTTGCTTTGCTCATGGCTTGTCATGGGTCAGTGCTTCACGAGGACGAGCCCCCCACCGGGGAAATGAAATGTTTGGAAGGGGTCCAGCGAACGCTATTGGTTGGAGGCCATGCGACGCTCCACCAGCCCAGGCTTGTCGTCAGGCCAAGGCTCGCGCAGTCAAAACCAACTTAGAAAGCAGCCTGGCAGGGTCTGCGACAGGACGGCAGGGACCAGCTCAGGGGAAAAGGTCCAATGTCTAATTCTGTGAGACTGGGTTATAGCTGGGGAAGAAAGGGGAGAATCGGAGAATTGCGGGTAAGAGAAGAGGCGATGCAATTCCCAAGATATCGGGATATACGGATGAGCAAAGTTGGTCGGGGGTTTGAGGGTTGGTCATCGTCGTTGGAGATGGTCTGTCCCTCGGGCAGCGTACCCCAACTCGTAGAGTCGTGCCAGCCATGGCCCCGAACAAGCTCTAGGTAGGTAGTGATTTAGCAGGCCATGACAACCCGAATGAGCTTCCCAGCTTACAGTACGTCTACCACGACGAGATGAGCATCGCAGATTCCAGGCGGGAGGGTCGCACTGTTTCAGTTGCATGAACCTCAAGTTCCGATTGCGTACCTGTCAGAATCGCCACCGTCATCTCCCGTCAGAAAAGATGGAAAACGTTCGCTTCCACTTGTGGAAACTTTCTGATCCATCATTACCATTCCAAGTGCCGATGACCGTTACCCGGAGTTATTGGATGATTGGCAATAGTCCATGGTTTGAAAAAATGAGACGGAAGGGACCACTTCGCCGTCATACTGTGCTGGTTGATTCGGATTTCTGTAGTTGTCTGGATCTTGAGCTTTTGCTGTGAGGCGTTGATATCTTCCTGTTCCGGTTCCCCTTTTGCCATCTATCGTCTTCGTCTTCGGGCGGCCAAATTGTCCGATTATGGGTGCGATCTACTTCCGGTGTTTCGGGGCCATGTGGTGTGGTTGGAAGCTCTTTGAACCTCAGGGACGGGAACGGTGACGAATCCGTCCACGCCGTCCATCGGGTGACTGTGGTGTGCTCATTTCTCGTCGTCGTCCTCACTCTCGGGACGGCTTTCTTTTGGTTACTATTGTGCATCCTTACCTCGTGTGGCCCCCTGGCTCCCTGTGGGTGGTTGTGATGGTGCATGTGCGGACATGGGCAACAAGGGACTCCGAAACAGCGGACGGAATCGAGGAAAGATTCCACTCTGATTAATTGCCAACGTTGCCCTAGTGGAAATTCTAGCGTGCGTCATGGTCATGCTGAAGGTGCGCCCCGACTAAGTGCCGTTTTCTCTCAAGTCCCCAGTTGGGACATGGCAATTTCTTGAAGTCTCAAAAAGTGCCTGGTTTTGCTGCAAAAGGCGAAGCCGCGAGTGACATGCAGGGCGGCCGTGGTCGCGGGGTCCACCATACCTCTATGCACTGCCGGTGCACCCCCTGCCTCCCATGCCCTGAACGCCCGCGTCAGGTCCTGCACGCAACAGTTCACCCCTAGTTTGTTCGTTAGTGTGGTACTTGCAGAGGACCTTTTTACCACTTTTAGGATAGCTAGGCGGGACTGCTGGCGTGAATAGCATCCAGGGGCAGTTGGCTATTGCCCGCTGAGTCAAGTCTTGGTTTGGGGCTGTTTGAACCAATGGGGGCTCCGGAATCCCTTGTCTTTTCCCTTGTCCGAGGAGGTCGCAAGTCTCGAGCTAACAAACAAACCAGCATTGATCTGTACAGAAGTGAACTTTCTCCAGTCTGATCTTGTCAAGATCGTTTTGAAGTGGAATCTTGAAGATTGGGGTTCTTGATTGCATCAATCTTCACTTCCATGTGATGCGCAAGAAATGCCTAAATCGAGACCCCTTGGATGTCCTTATTGGCACTAACTGCACGGCCGCTGCCCTGAGCACCACCAAGACGGGAGAGTGACACCGGCCCAAGGCATGGAAGGCACTCGCACACTGCACCTTCCATCAGGCACGATGGCCCTGGGTCACGGGGGATTGGATGCCCGGATGCAGTGGGCCCTAGGATGCAGAATTGGAACCTGCCGGGCACCTAGCTTTGAGCGAGTGGCAGGAGCGACGGAACTGTGTGGGTGGCTCCCACCACACCGTTCCACCACTCATTGTGTGGGAGAAGAAACGGCTGCTCAGAGGCCACCCCTGACCGGCGCAGCTGGAGGCCAGGCTGGAAACGAACCTGGAAGGCAACAACACCTCATGGCAGGAACCAAGCGGAAAGGGAACACCATTCGGGGCAGGAGGGCCTGGAGAAATAGTAATACGGTTTTTTGTGCTTGCCCTCCTGTCCCGCAGGCCTCGTCCCCGCCATGCTTCCTTCCCGTCCGTTAGTCCGTCGCCGTTCGTTGCCCGCCCATGCTTTATCTGATCTCCGACGTGATGGTCTGATCGTCCCTGTCTCCATTGCTACATCGTCGCTTGTCCCGGGTTCACGAGCGGGCCTGCCATTTCTGCATTGCGGCGATTTCACTAGTCCGGCCTGCTTTATCTCGCTGCAGAGCTAACTCCCTTGCCATTGTTGTCGATGCTACATAGAAGCCGCTCACATCCTTTTTTGTTTTTGCCCGGCTTTCTTCTTATTTTCCCTCCCCCTTCCCACCCACGCGCACCCTTTTTCTACTCCCTTTTCTAACGGTCTGATCTGCGTCGGTCTCTTTGTATCCTCTTGTCCACGCTTTTCCCACGAGAACAACTGCGGTATCGGTTTGATTCGAACCCGGACGCCTCAAGACTAGAAGCTGCCGGTGCTAAACGCAACCACACTTACCCGTCCCGTCGAAGCCAAGCCACCGACCGCATACATAACGGTCGATTCCGACATCGTCCACTGACTGGGTCTCGACATAATCGAGAAGCGACTCGACCCAACGACACCCAAGATATATATCCACAGCTTCACAAAGGCACTCGTGCTGTATTAGCTGTCGTCCCCGGCCCGGACAAAGACAAGAGTCCGGACAGTTGATTGCGCATTGCCGATCAGGATCTCGCCGGATCTGGCATTCCAGGACTCCATACACATCTCTCATCATTGCGGCCCACATTATCGCTGTCGGCGCGCAGGCGAGTCCCCGCTGTATTATTGACCAGAGCTCCGCCTGAAACGTCTAAAAAGCGACAGCAGGTCTCGCTTGCTGGTTAACTTGGATCTTTCCCGATCCTCCGAAAAGTCATTCCGCCTCTGCAACACGGATCCGACACATATACCATCAAGATGTGTTTCGGGGGTCGTGCAAAGGAAGACGAGGCTGAGGCCTCCCGGTCGCGCGAGCTAGACAAGCAGATCCGCGCGGATGAGAAGCGCCTGTCGAAGGAGGTCAAGCTGTTGCTACTAGGTACGGATCTCCAGATTGCTGTTAGGCCCTGCACTGCGACCATGGCGACTCTAACCTTTGGCATCAATAGGAGCTGGCGAATCCGGAAAGTCTACGGTTTTGAAGCAGATGAAGTTGATCTATGCACAAGGTTTCAGCAAAAATGAGAAACTAGAATGGAGGCCCGTTATTTTCGCCAACATTCTGCAGTCGTTCCGATTGATCTTTGATGCGATGAATGAGTTCAACATCAAGTTGGAGGATGAAGATAATGAGGCAAGTTTAATTCAGTGGGCCTTGATATCTGAGTCTCCTCAACTAACTTGAGTACCTACAGAAGAACATGGTGCAAATGATGGTCGATTACGAAATGAGGCAAGACGAGCCTCTACCACTAGAATATTTCGAGCCGGCGAAGAAGCTCTGGCAAGATGCAGGCGTCAGGCAAGCCATCGAGAAGGGCAATGAGTTTGCCCTGCACGACAACCTTGAGTAGTATGTGTTCGCAGTTCACCCTCCATGTTTCTGCATCTCGCTAACCTATTATCAAGCTTCTGTACGGAGCTGGACAGGCTATTTGACAGGGACTATGTTCCTAGCGACCAGGATTTGCTGCGCTCGAGGCTACGGACGACTGGTATCACCGAGACTGTTTTCGACCTGGGCCAACTTACATACCGTATGTTTGACGTCGGTGGCCAGCGGTCGGAGCGGAAGAAGTGGATTCACTGCTTTGAGAACGTCAACTGCTTGCTGTTCTTGGTAGCTATCTCGGGTTACGATCAGTGCCTGGTTGAAGACAAGGATGGGGTGAGTCTAACCCCCGCATGTTGTTGAGAAGGTGGATGCTAACCTTTGCACAGAACCAAATGAACGAGGCCCTCATGCTCTGGGAGTCGATCGCCAACTCTCACTGGTTCACTAAGTCGGCCTTGATTCTGTTCCTCAACAAGATCGACCTTTTCAAGGAGAAGCTGCTCCGAAGCCCGATAGCGAACCACGGCTTCACTGATTATCATGGTCCCCCGGACGATGCTCAGCAGGCCAGCAAGTACTTTATGGACAAGTTCCGCGCGCTGAACCGGAATCCGGACAAGGAGATCTATGGGCATTTCACAAACGCGACCGATACCAATCTTCTGAAGATTACCATGGCTTCCGTACAGGACATGATTATCCAGCGGAACCTGAAACAACTTATCCTGTAAGGGGATATTCATATACTGGGCTCGCACATCCGACACATCTGCTTCCGCAGCACATCGCCCCCGGTGAAGTGAACTAGCAAACTGCTGGTTGTGGATGTATCAACTTCCCTTCCTCTTCACGAGCCGTTTCATCTGGACGATCGACCTAATTGTGAATAGAGTCTAAACTTACAGCACTTTAATCTCGGCCAGAAACTCCCGAGGAGAGGACCATCCGTGTTGGATTTCCCTTGCATTTTTACCGACCCAGAACCCTCCGAGGACTTCCGCTTTCAGACCCCCTGACGGCGTTCCGTTCACATGTATATTACCAGCTTCCCGCTTGTCACATTTGCGCTCTATATCCCGGAGGCTGCGGATCTCTTACTATCCTACGACTTCGACCATCAAACCCTTACCTTTTGTCATTTTCGAGCCATCTTTTTGCTTATTCGACATTGCACGAGCGACTCTTGCGGCTTGGGCGGCCAGCATTTTTGGGCCGTAACTTCACCCTTTTCTTCGTTTGCCCTGTTCGCCTTATAGCAGATTGTGGCTCCTGTGGGCAAGCACGGCGGCATTTGCTTTTGCAAAAATCATTTGTTGTTTCATGGACCCTGCGCGGGCTGGTGGAAGATGTCCTTTCTCCTTGGCTCTCCTTACGACCTTGGGAAACACGTTTCGAGATTGGGCAGGGGAAGTTCGTCGCTACATCTTTATTTGTCTTTATTTGCCAGCTTGATTCGGATTTGGATATACCCGAAAAGCTTTTCGTGTGGGTTTGTGGAGGTACGAACGGAAAAGGGATGACTGGGACTTGGGGACGACATAACGAATCAATCACCTCTCCCTCACGTTGGTCGAGTTTCCCAGCGTTGTCTACAGAGAGAGGTTCATTGAGTACAGAAGAGCTATTCTCGATGATGATGTGGAGGCCAGACAGCAATGAATCAAAAGTCAATCACATTCGAGTTCCAGTCCTAACGAGCAATTGATGATACTGTACCGGTTTGGACCGGGTGTGTTGTCCAAGAAGAAGGAGGCTTCAAGGTAGCTTGCACCATTAACGCTATTGAGTGAGAAGCTGCAGCAATCTCTGGCTCGGCAGTTTGGCCAAGGTTTGAAGGAGCAGTGTAATGTCGTATCGGTAATCTCGTTGGGGAGGTCATTGCTACTGTAGTTTGTATCTAGAGGATTAAGATTCTCTTGGTGATAGCGAGCGAGCCGGCTTTACCGTACTACGGTATGTAAGTGTCACGTACTTAATTGTCTAACATCCCTTCAACTCTGCGAGGCTGGTGCGGTGATGGTCGGTTGGTTTCATGTTCCACGCTTTCCCCGTTCGTCCCAACACATCGTAAATGCTGGGGGAATCTTCCGGAAGCCTCCCGCTTTCGTTGTACTTGCTTTCTGCATGCCCCTGGAGTTTGCTTGGCCCCATCCCTGCGTCGGGGACAGGATTCAGGGCACCTTTCTGCACGCACCTTGACCTTCTTGGCATCCATGGATAGCAATCCAGCATCAGTGCACTGCATGAAGGACCTCGGTGAGTCCGGGGCGTTACCCAAGCTGAGGCCGCTGGGAGCGCTCGTTGGACGGCGCGTACGGGAGTGGCTGCCGCGTGGGCTCAGCGCGTAAACGTCCCTCGACCCTGCTAAACGCGTTCGGTTTCCGGAGTCCGGCCAACGGCATGACGGCAACTCTTTATCCACCTTTAACGACAACACGGAAGGTCCACACGCGAGCCGGTTAGAAAAAGGAATCTTACCATACCTTAACAACTGTACTGTTGCTGAGTTATTTCGTGTTCAACACGGCTCGTGAATATTCCGCCCGTTGGCAGCTCTTTGAAACCGTCATAGTTTGCTGTTTGCCAGCCGTCTCTGACAGCCTCTACGCTTCTGTTTACATATTGGGCGACTCTTGTCAGCTCGTACCACGAGGCCTATTGTATCACGTTTACGGCAACCATCAAAGGATTAACCCATCACCAGGCAGCGCTTTTTAAAGAAGGCCAATCGACATCCTGTCGTGGTCAGCTGAGCTCGTCTTTGACGTGCTGGGCTCATTTGCAGGACCAGTTCCAAGCACTTGATGAGTTGAAAATGGAATAGGAGTTTATTCCATCGGATTTTGCCAAGTTCTGTGCTTTCTTAACGGAAAGCTCAACAGGTACGGGAAGCTAACATCACCTGACATCAGCTGTCAACATGGCGAGCGCAGAATATCAGAAGGTGAACGCCGCGTCTTCTGCTGGTGAGCACGTTTCTGGCGATTTTGTTCCTGGTGATTCTCCTCCGCTGGATGCCAAATCAGGAGGCGGATCATGGATTGCACGCCACCTTCCCTTCCTCAAGACGAAGCGTGGGATTACCATAACCGTGGCGGCCATCCTCCTCATTATCGGTGGAGGTTTAGCAGGACTGGCGGCTCTACCAAAGAAAAGCGCAACCGGGGCAGGAGATGGGGCAGGTGATTCAGGAGACTCCATTACCAGTGACGAACATTTTTATGGCCAGTCACCGCCGGTCTATCCTTCGCGTACGTACGCTCGCTTCTTTCCGAGCCGGTTGGGTATGGGTTCACTATTGAAGATACAAGGCTGATTCATCACACAGCAAACATGACCGGCACTGGAGCTTGGGCATCATCGTTCAAGAAGGCCAGGGACATGGTTGGCCGAATGACACTTGATGAGAAGGTACTAGCTGCCATATATTGAGATGGCAATGTTATTGGGCTTGATTCGGATTACATTTCTGACATATTCGCCACCACACAGGTCTACCTAACGACCGGCGTCCAATCTAACACGAGTTGCAATGGCTTCATCCGGCCTATATTCCGTGTAGGTTTCCCCGGAATGTGCCTGAGCGATGCCGGGAACGGCCTGAGAAATACCGATTTTGTCAGCAGTTGGCCGAGCGGTCTCCATGTTGGTGCCAGCTGGAACAAGTCGCTTGCACACCAGCGAGGCACCGGTATGGGCAGCGAGTTCAAGAAAAAGGGGGTGAATGTTCTCCTTGGGCCCGTTGTTGGGCCGATGGGCCGCGTGGTGTTAAGTGGTCGTAACTGGGAAGGTTTGTTCACTCACTCTCAGTTAACCTGTGCAGGGCTGAGTATTAACATTCGTGGTCTAGGTTTCTCTTCCGATCCATATCTCTCAGGGGCTCTTGTTTACGAAACGGTTGAGGCGGTTCAAGACGTTGGTGTTATCACCAGCGTTAAGGCAAGTTAACGCCCGCATAATCGAAAAGTGAATACTCCGCTAATATCACACCAGCATTATATTGCCAATGAACAAGAGTCAAACCGGATGCCTGCCAATGGCATGGAGTCCGTGTCATCTAATATTGACGACAAAACGATGCATGAGTTCTATCTCTGGCCTTTCCAGGATTCCCTCCGTGCCGGTACAGGTAACATCATGTGCTCATATAACCGACTTAACAACTCGTATGGCTGCGCAAATAGCAAGTCCCTCAACGGCTTGCTCAAGACAGAACTCGGTTTCGAGGGGTTTGTGGTCTCTGACTGGAATGCCCAGCATGCTGGTGTTGCCACGGCTTTGGTAGGCTTGGACATGGCCATGCCGGAAAGCGTTGACTACTGGGGATCTAAGCTTGTGGATGCTGTCAAGAATGGATCGGTTCCTGAATCCCGAGTTGATGACATGGCAACGAGAATCATTGCATCTTGGTACAAGATGGGTCAGGACAAAGACTTTCCTACACCCGGTATCGGCATGTCCAGCGATCTTACGAAACCTCACAGCATAGTTGACGCCAGAAACTCAACGTTCCGTTCCACGCTATTTGACGGCGCAGTTGAGGGTCATGTCCTCGTGAAGAACACGCGCAATGCACTACCCCTGAGCAAGCCCAAAATGCTATCTGTCTTTGGGTACTCCGCCAAGAACCCCGACCACAATGGTCCAACAATTGGTTCATCTGCGTGGGTGTTCGGGGCAGAATCATTCAACTACGACGAGTTTAGCAACGGATTCTTCGGCAGCGCCGCCGTAGGTAACACCCCCATCGCCTTCAACGGCACGCTCTACTCCGGCGGTGGATCAGGCGCCACCTCCCAATCCCTCGCCGTCTCCCCCTTCGAAGCCATCGTCCACCGCGCCTACGAAGACGGCACCGCGCTCTTCTGGGACTTCCACAACGGCAGCCCCGCCGTCGATCCTGCCTCAGACGCCTGCCTCGTCATCGGCAACGCCTACGCAACCGAGGGCGCCGATCGCCCCGGCGCGCGCGACGACTACACCGACGGGCTCATCAAGCACGTCGCCGACCAGTGCAACAACACCATCGTCGTCTTTCACAACGCCGGCATTCGCCTCGTCGACCAGTTCATCGACCACCCCAATGTCACCGCCCTCATCTTCGCCCACCTCCCCGGCGAGGCATCCGGCAAGGCGCTCGTCTCGCTGCTCTACGGCGACGCAAACCCCTCCGGCAAGCTGCCCTACACCGTCGCCCGCAACGAGTCCGACTATGCCGTGCTTGGACCAGATCTCCCCGACGCAGGCATGTTCCGCAAGTTCCCCCAGAGCAACTTCTCTGAAGGCGTGTTTCTTGACTATCGCCATTTCGATGCCAAAAACATCACGCCGCGCTACGAGTTCGGCTTTGGCTTGAGCTACACCACTTTTTCGTATGGTAACCTCTCCGTTGAGCAAGTCGATGATGCGAATACGGGCGAGTACCCCACTGGCGAGGTCCGCGAGGGAGGGCAGATCGACCTGTGGGATGTGCTTGTCCGTGTAAAGGCTGAGGTCACCAATACGGGCGGTCGTGACGGGGCTGAGGTTGCGCAGCTTTATGTTGGGATTCCGGAGGAGGGGGCGCCGGTGAGGCAGCTGAGAGGGTTTGACAAGGTGTTTGTGAGTGCTGCGGGGACGGAGACGGTCGAGTTTGAGTTGCCGAGGAGGGATTTGAGCGTGTGGGATACGGTGAGGCAGAAGTGGAGGCTGAAGAAGGGTGGGAAGTACGTGGTTGAGGTTGGCGGGAGTAGTAGGGATTTGCCGCTCAAGGGTACGGTGGAGATTTGAGCATGTACTTGTAGTAATCACCGAATGGATGAAAGAAAGCTGATGTGGTGTGCACGTTTTGCCTCTGCATGTTAATAGTAAGATAGCTCTATGGACAGTACTTGCCCCACCTGCTGTTAGTTTCATGCACACCATCTCGAGAGACACTTCGACATTTGACCTGGAAAACCAAGGAGAAGGTTAGTTCAGTGAGCAAGTACTGATTCTACAGAAAGCTATCTTTTGGAAATCTTGGTTTAGGTTAAAAGATATGATGTATGGTAAGAGACGGGCTCTAGCGAGGCAACACTGGTGGGTAGAGGGTTGCGAAGTGTCGCCTATATATGAGGTTACAGATATGCTACAACGTCGGGCTGGGATGTGAACTACCGGGTTTGTAGGTATTGTGAGTAAACTTCGTGGTCTTGTAGCTTCGAATTGCTTGAAATGTTGTAGATTGTTGCGTGCAGTTACCTCTAACTAAGGTCGCGGGAACAAAAGGTATGACAGATGAATCATTTACTGGAGGCGCGAAAATATGATGTTTGAGCTTGGGGGTGACACATGCAGACGAATTATGACCCAAAATGGTTTTGATCACTGCGAGCAAGTCAGTCAGAGTTGACTCTGGGGATGTGGATATTCTCAGTTGCGTATCGTGCTCACCCTAAACTGCACTACACTACACACATTTTCCAGAAAACCCCTCGTGACATTTAAACCGTCAGCTGTAGATGAACTTTGTGGGTGTAATAGTATTATGTATAGAAACATCGGCTATTAACATAGGCATATCTCTTCTCTCTCGCGGACATCAAACTCTCCACTGAAGAGCGTGACTCTCTCGTATACATCAAACAATTCACTGAAGAGCATGAACTCGATCGCGTTATTATATGAGTTTTCATCGAATATACCCACGCGTCTGTAACGGCGCCCATCGTTCTCACTGTGACTCGACTTGTCTTGCATCAAAATCAATCCCAACGTCCATACTTCTTCGCTCCGCCTGAGAGGGTCCGGTGGAACCTCCCATCTTACCAGGGGCACCACTAAGACAGAATCTCCTTCTGTTGGTTCTCCATCCCACCATATGTTGAGATAATCATGATGGTTATTCCCAAACTTTATGCCATGTCGTCTCTGCTTAGTTAGCGGGTGTTTTACCGGACCGGTTACTTTGCCGCTTTTGGTGAAAGCATGGACTGTAATCGTCATGCCAAAGCCTTCCCAAGGTGTATCTTCCACATTAACATTGTGGTAGTGATGTTCTTCAAGAGCAGGGAAAGACAACTTGACCACTTGCATTAAAGTAGATGTAGGCACACCTAGTTTGCCGCCATCAAGGTGGAGTCCACGGAATTCCTTTCGGCCTTCCGCAGAAGCCCAAGACCAAGATGGTAAGTGTGTTCCGCATGCTGTCCGTTTAGACATTGGGACATCCCTGCGCCACACCCAGAGGAGGTCAAAAGGCCAAAATTCCATCCAGGTTCCAGCAACGTATGTTAAGCCAACACAATTTCCTATTGCCTTGACAATACCCGCGAGTGCGATGAATCTGTCCGATGCGTATGTTAAGCTGGTTTCCGTGTAGTCCTCTATAACACGATACCAGGACAACATCAACCCAACGGTGTTGATTGTTTCAACGGATGGCACTTTGCCAATGACAGACCCTATATTGAAGCCATCATTTGTCCTCTTCTCGCTCGCGCTGTCACTTGTTGACTTGAAGATTGAAGTCGAATATCTATCTCGGTTGTGAGGAAAGTCACAAAGCTCCAGAAATTGAGCTCTAGAAGTATCATAATGCTGAAACAAAAGCTTGTCATCAACAGGACGGCTTTCGGACTTCGTGTGACATCGGCACTCCCAGTACAACTGTTCGGTGCCGAAGTACAGGATTCGAGGCGATAAGAATCTTTCTTGAAACACCCAAGCTCGTGAGAGTAAAGGAGAGTTTCGTAGGGAGTCTGGTAGTCTTCTATACTGTTCCAGGCTGACATATATGGCCTCATTCTCATTCGGCGTGGCAATGCGGCAAGGGACATACTCCAATGGGTTGCGGGTTGTGAAGCAGAAATCAACCGGAGAGTATGTATCCACTGGAAGCATTGAATCATTCCCAAGCCCCAATGCAGCAATGTTGCATGAAGTGTTGCTATAGACATCGCACATGGTGACGGCTTCTTTCTGAAAAACTGTGGTATCGGAAGGGTCTTGGATGATACACAACGAGTCAATCCAGATATACTGGTAACCCAGTCGTCTTGTAATTTTCATAGCGTCCTGAAATGTTTGAGGGAGTTCTCCAATGGGTATACATTGCTGAAGCCGCTCGATGTTGTCAGGTAATAGCTGGATTGTCTTCCCAGGTCCTCGAACTGTTGCCGCCCATACATGACTGAGGGTGCAGTATTGAATATCGGCCAAACCCGCGGAGGCAGGTGTAATGACGAGGCGTGGAACCAACTGTCCGTCTACTTCGCTGATTTCGATGAGCCTTGTGGGTAGCTTGCCATTGGCACCCAGAGACATTTGATTGCATCCGTCATGACGCTCGAGGCAATCATCCAGCCAAGACCTAGCCAGATCTAAAGCATCCGATGAGCCCGTTGAAGCTGGATAGTATTCCTGGCTCGACGCCGGTTGAGGCGAGATTATGTCCCTATCTTTGCGAGAAAACATGAAGTTAGAATTCGTTCAGGAATCATGAATGCAAACAACGTCAAAACTATACCATGTTGCTTGCGAATGTGAAGATGTGCAAACACCAACCCCGGGACATCGAATTCCCGTCCGTGATACAAAGTCTTGTCAAGTTTTGAATAATCCTCAGGGGATACCTGCTTATCAGTTACCTCCATTATTATGAAGGACATATTGGCGGGCGATTGACCTCTCCCAGGGCTCCGCATATTTACGAATATGGCTCCTTGAGTTTCGGCGAGCTCGGAGAAGAAGTTCAAATCTCCAGGGGCATGTTCACGATGTCGCGCGTGTTTATAGGCCAATGTGCAAAGATGACAACCACCGGCAGCTGCATCAAGCATCTCATTCAGATTCCAACTGTGATAGAAATCCTCGCTATCGGTGGGTGCCGGTTCATCTTCACAACGGTTGGGATCGCTGAGCCACTTAATCAACCGAGATTCGTTCCTGATGCGATCACAGGCTTTGCACAAAACATGTGCCCTAACGCCAGGCGGATCGTCGTTGGTTGTGGGCGTGTCCATGTTCATCGCATCTATCGATAGACGATGGAGGTGGAGAGGCGACGATGGAAAATGGGCTTGATTCTGTAGTAGTAACAGAGGAAGACGAGAGACGGAAACCGGGGCAGCCTAGAAATACTGAGCGGAAGCGCCGGTGAAGGAAAGCCCGTTAAATTGGCGGGAAGGCACGGCCAACAATGGATGATGCTTCGGAAGGCGCAAGTCTTGACTGAGGAAAGGATAGTTGTCGTTGGGAGAAGTTTCGATCTACAACCGATTGCTGCCTTACCAATAGGACCCCAACCAGGCGACGCACTGCTTACCCCAGCATATACAGGTAGGAATTGAGGGATAATGCGATTAATTTCGACCATTACAACGTCGAACAAAAAGAAAAGACATATAATAAGGACAAAAAGAGAGATAAAAAACGAAACCTGAAAAGAAGAAAAAAACATACAACACCTGGGATTCGCTGGTCGTCACCGACCCAACTACTAGTCAGGCGATTGGTAGCTTATCTATGGGAGAGCGGACGGGATCCCGAGTTTTCTACCATCTATGGTCGTATGTGTTTCATTTTGTTCTCTGATTACCTTATATTGTATCTAACAATAATCGTTTCGTTCCATGCGGTTCATCATTGCTAGTTATCATAAGTACATAGCAGATCATGTCAGCAAAAATGAAGAAAAGAGTGCGATCAACTGCTCAAAGTTCTGGGGTATCTTTTCTGACTATAATCGGCAATTCTGATGGGTATCATTTGGGTATGAAATTCCTGGCCAAGCGCACTGTTCGAAGACGATTTTCAAATTCGACCTTTGTCGATCGAATGGTATTCTGCGGTTTCCCGTCGCCCACCACCCTCCCTCCACCATTCAAGAACTCCAGCATGTGGGTATGAAACAGAACCAAAAAGATAAGGAAAAAGAGATACGGAAAGATGAAGCGCTAGACATTACAGTAAAAATTAGGAAAGAGTCAGGTTATACAGATGTTCGAGAGAGTGTGCATCATGACAGGATGAGGAGGTACATGACGCTGGAGGGGAAAAGCCACAGTTCTACTTCTGTGGCGGCCTGAAGATAGCATTAGTGAGGAATATCTCCTCGCTATTAACGACGCGTGCTGTAGTAGCCGACTGACACGTTATGTTATTGTTGCTGCTGTTGGTGCCACCCTTGCAGCTCTGAATGGACTTCTCAGCGGTATTGATGGCAAGTGAAGGCTTACTACGAAGCCCGTTGAGCATATCGATGCTCATTGTGCGATGTATGTGTTTCCGCCGGCTGTCTGACGGAGGCGGAGGTGGAGGCGCCTCTTTTTTGACTGCAGGCTCATCCTTCTTTACTGGATGTTCCTTTTTGACCGGAGAATAAACCTCGACCTTAACTGTATGCCGCTTTTCCCTATCAGCAGGGACACCATCGCCACCCATCTGGGTGAGCGCATTTTCCACATCAGCCAAGAGGGCAGAGACATCGCTGCCTGCAAAGACCATAATGGTTTCAGCACGCCGAGAACTGGCGCCTTGCTCTTCGCTCGCAGCTTCTTCCTCTTCGAAGAATGGTTGTTCCATGATGGTGGAAGGCACGTGAGCAACCACTCGCGGCGGCGAAGATGACGCAAACGCGGAAATGATGTGAGAGGAAAAGGACATCTTCGTTGGGCTGCGGGGGGGCGTGGAGATGTTACCGGCGCCATTCGTAGAGCCCAAGGAGCGGACACCCATGGCGCACTGCAGACTCTCGCTTACGCCAGCCACAGACCCGGTGGACATGGAGAGTGTGGTGGCGGCAGCGACGTGCTCAAGAAGCTTTTGCCGAACTCGAGTGCGGCGATTCTCGGCTTGATCGAGCTTGGTTATCCAGTCGTCTATTGAAGCGTCTAGCTCTGCGAGAGCCTCTTCTTGCTTCAACATGGACTCGTGGCTGAACTTGGCTGTGCGAGGGGATCGGAGGTATTGGCATATCCGAGCATGTAGGTTACGTCTACCAGCGCGGAGGGATGTGTAGGTGCGTCTAAGATATTCAGTCCGTTCGTCTAGCTGCCGTAGCTCCTAATAGGTTGTTAGTCATGAACCAAAGTACGCGATAGAGGGTAAGCTTACCTACCTTAGAGAGGTTATCGACGTCTTCCTTCCGCAGTACCTCGAATCTAGCAGCTTGTTGAAGGGCCTGCTTCTGTAGAGCAGCAGTTTCGCTAGGCTTGAGCATTTTGACCGCATCGCTGGCCTTCCACCCCTTTGGCAATTGTTCAAATGCGCGCCGTTCCGCGCTCTTACTCCTCTTGGAGCATGACCTTTTCAAGACGGTAGCCCCGCATGTCTCACTCCTTTTCCGTGGTCGGCCCCGTTCCATAATGCTTCCCGTTTCCGAGTGGCTCCTCTTGTGCCCGATGTTCGAGATACTCTGAGGGCTATCAGCGATGCCTGGCCCGAGTGCTGACGGGAACCCAGGTGTGCATTCAATGGAGCTTTTTGGCACATGGTTGTCAACCTTATCCCATGGCATCAGCGAAGATCTGATGTCGGTGGGTGCTGATATAGGCGTTGGCAGTGTGGAAGCAGTCCCGGCACTTGTTGCTGCAGATCTCGGGGTGCTTGAAATAGCTGAAAGGGGCGTGAACGGCGTCCGCGCTTTAGGAGAATCTTCGAATCTTGCCGATCGAATCGTGGAGTCTACCGGCGTGGTACCTGCTCGGAGACGACTACATGATGTCTTCTGATGGAGTCTTTGAGTGGCAGAGCTGAGCGTCGGAATCACAAGAGGAGTGAGATTCCTGGGCGACAAAGGTTGTCTAGCCTCGTTCTGAACTCGCTGGCTTCGATTAATACACTGGCGGGCGGCATCAGGCTGCGCTCGCTCAATAGGCACTCGATCCTTGAGTGCTCCCTTAGACTGATTAGGCCTTGATGGAAGGCCTGGGGCACTAATAGAACGTTCATGGAGAGCCGGACGGCCGGGAATGGTGGCTAGGACCACTTGTCAGTATGAATGGGACAAAATCCATCTAGGGTAAACATACGGGAATCCATGGCTGCCTCTTGGACGGTCGTCATTGGGCCAAGTTCAGGCACGCTCACTTTCCGCCTGCGAGTAAGGTTATGCTCCTTGACCTGTATCCTCAAACCAGATCCAGCATTCGACTTTCCATTGGTCTCGCTGTTTGGTCCCATATTCAGAACAGAGGATTGCTCTGGGTCGACCGACTTCTCAGAGACTGTCGACTGCGTGTCCTTGGAGCACTGCTGATATCTTTTTTCTGGGTGGTACATCCTCCAAGTAAACGGTTTCTCCCCTGACGGCGAAGCTCGACCTAGCTGCAGTTTGCATAAATGTGTAAGCATTAACCGGCTTTTGGCTGGGGTCTTGGGGCCCGGAGTGACGTACCGATTCATTGGATGATTGTGGAGAGACTTCCTTTGCTATGTAATTGTTGAGGCAAAGGATGAAATCCTCGGAGTCGGAGTCCAGCATACAGCTAACAATATGAGCCATGAGTCCAACGGGTCGGTCGAGCCGTGTTAGAGATAGATGACCAAACTCGTGAGACCAGATGTACAGAAAGCCGGAAGAGGCCGAGATACGAACAAGGTCTTCAAAGTGATGACGGCCCGACGGGCTAGGGGTATAAGGTATATAAGTCATGCACGTAGACTGGAATTAGGACAGACCTTGCCCTGAGTCGAGACCGTGGTTGGTTACCAGACAGGGTTGAAGGGACTAGTACGGGACCCCTTGTAGGTATATCGACTATGTAGGAGAGGGGGGTATATCATGAAGCAGCAACCCTCGAGACGGATACACAGTAGATGCTTTAGATTTCTCATCATGATTCCCCACATGAAGGTAGGGTAGGGTGCCTAGTTCCATCCCAAGCTACAAGTCCCCGGACCTGGAGCATAGGAGCAGATCCATCATCCAGGTACGAGTCTCCAGATGGTAGTTTCCCGGTACTGAGTAGACCAGCACTCAGTGGAAAGAAACAAGTGCTGTCGAGACGTGCGATACGAAGACGGCAGCCCAGGCTCGGGCCCTCAAGGTATGAGACCGAGAGTTCCGTCGTCTAGTCTCAGCCCATGTGAAGCATGCAGGTGGATACGCGATGCTGCGGGAGTGACTTGCGGAAATGGGGAAAGCCAGAAGCCCAGCCAAGCCTTATGAACCTTCCAAATCGAGGGTGAAAAGTGGGTAAAGGACTCTTTGAAGATTCTCCGCTCCGGATGTTTGGCATGCAAATATTTCCAGGGGTATTCTCACCAAGAAAGCACGGGGTAACCATCCGTCACCGTGGCACTGGCAGGGGGGTGGACACCGTTACCATATTCGGCCTCGCTATGACGGCGATATCTCTCTCGACCGAAGGCCCCTGTCGTCCAGCCAATGGCCGTTGAGTTGGCTAAATGAAGGAGGTCTGTTGACAGAGCTGGAGAGCATCTGTGCAAGACCCAATACCTCTAACGAAGCGTGGTGTTGACACTCCCATCGACGGGCCGGGCCTTTGACGGCATCGTAGATGGACGAGTCCTCCCTCCCGACCCCGCACAACTTTTGGGAGCTTTGTGCGCGGTCCCAGCCGGGCGAGCTCCGGTCTGATGCTGACTTGGTCGATATCGCGGGCTCGATGACGATTTTGACAGACAGCAGCCCAAGTGTCTGGGGAAGATCCTTGGAGCTGACCTAATGGCGAAAGATCAGACGGACACCAAAGCATGAATACCTCGTGGCAAGCTCGTGGCATGAATGATAGCTCCATCTTCCCGCCAAAGCGCGAGTCGATTTCGTCCGGAATCAAGACAGCAATGGAAAGGCATGATCGAAGTGGCAACTGAATCGAAGCCGTTGAGGACGAGGTTCCATCGCCAGGGGAAGTTGGCCAAGCGGGGAAGTTCTAGACGCAAGAGTTATTTTTGATCTCGTGATTGACTTGATGAAAGGGAGGGAGGGCTGGAGGCGCAGCTAAGAGTTTGGAGAAGAAGAAGGCCGAAGGAAGTGTAATGGAAGGAGGCTTGGGAGCGAAAGTTAGAAACAACGAAACAAGAAGTTGCCATGGTGAAACAAACGAAACTCCTCAGCAGTTCAGCTCCAGCCCCTCAAGGCTCGAGCGGTGGATACTCTCTGTCCGATTATGTAAAACAGCAGCACTAGACCCTAACCCTATAGTGCTATGCACAGCATACTCAATCGAGTCAATCCAGCACTGCTTTTGCCGTTCATCACCTGTCTCCATGTTTCATTCATCCAGGCCAAGACGACCGAGGGCAGATATGCATCTCGTCACGAAGGGCTGTGTGACAGAGGCAAGTACATGACTATATCTTGTCAATAGACACAGCAGCATAGCATGCCGGGCTCATTAATCTTAAATCGCCCCCAGTCGCGGAATGTGTCCGCAACATATCGCTTCGTTCTCCGCAAAAGTCCACGTTCATCCTCCCGTTTTAAACTTGGTTTTAAGCCGCAAAGAGATCGACAACTTGTTTCCTGGATTGAGAACATTCGGTACGTCTCGCGTTGAAAGCTGCCGTGAACGACGCTTTATTTGGAATTGGCGAATCAGGCCTGCATCTTGATGAAACAACTGAATGTTTGAGCCCCCGCATTCCCGGCAATGTGTTAGATGTAGGTAGATGTCATGTGGACGATGACTTCACCTATTCAACTTTTCAACCCCCCCGTCCATATTCGAGAGTGTATGATGTTCCTACCATATTGCCTGACTAGATTTAGTATCTACTCAACGGCGAAAGGGGCAGCAGGGGAGCCATCAAGGGCGAGACCGGAAACCCGCTTGTCCGGACTCACTATGACTAAAGGAGCCGAGCACACGGCCTTTGGCCTTGACAATTGATGCAACGTGGAACCTTCAGGGTCTTGTGAAATCCGAGCCGAGTGGTAGCAGCTAGGCCCAACTTTGCTCGTGGAATAGGTATCAGTTGAGGGGCTGCAGGATAGTTCAATGAGTGATCGTGATGGCAGATAGACGATAGCCCTGCCGTAACATTCGGTGGTTACTGAGCATGGCTCTGGAGTAGGAGTGATGCTAGTGCTGATCTCGGCAGGCCCTTTGAGGAGTTGATTTCCGCGTAGAGATACTCCGATACGGGCAATGGGACAGGGTAGGCGAGCTGGCGATGATGCTCGGAAGGCGGCGGTGGTGAATCAATCCTATGTGACGGTCGCCCGGCCAGAATTCCGATGCTCTATCATCCGTTATGGTGCTTGGTATGCCTACTGTGTAGCACGAGCAAGGAAGATTCGGCAACTCGCTTAAGACGTGACCCCTGAACGATTCACAAACCGTTAGGAAGGGCTAACCGGTTCTGTGCACGCGTCCGTCTGGGCAGCCCATTGTTGGCGGGAGAGCGAGGTTCCGTCTTGTCGAGAGAGTCGAGCAAGAGAAAACTGAGGGCGAGACCGTGATTCTGGGTCACGCCGGCGTCTCAGGTTCGATCTTGGGTTTATTGAAACCCCAAAGTGCAAGATCTCGAAGCGGAGGACGGCCTGAGTTATCCAGAGGGCCCCATCTCGGCTCTACTTGCCTTCACAAGTTCACGATACCCCCGGGACTCGACAACTAGCAAGAGCACCGACCTCGGCCTGCGAATTCATTACCCAGATTAGATTTGCCTATATCACATTTCAGGTATGCCCGCATCGGATCATGCCACAGTGATGTCGGCGACCACTATTTGCTCGCATATGCTGTGAGGATGCAGCGACAGTGAGGGGATGTGATAGAGGTAATATAGGGGAACGGTATATATTAACGTGTTATCACCTGCAGGTCCCGAATATCAAAACTTTGTTCCTTCTTCCTGGTTGATACCACCCCCTATCTGCACTTCCCATGAACTGTTTCGTTTCGTAGCCTGGGTCACCATGCCCATGCCCGACGACCTACATCAATATTTGCGCGGTGAGTAGGTAACAAAACGGCATTACCTAAATACTATGGCGATCCTGGTTAGTATGTCGGCAATTCATCTTGGGCATGTAAGTCCCTTGAAGCATCATTGGGACATACAACCGAAACGAACCAAGTACCTACCTTTCAACACAATGGAAACATCTTGGACTACATAAACAGACACCACCGAGCCGTTTGACAAACCGGTAAGTTGGGTCCCAATCATCACTGAATCCTGACTTCCAGTTCCTTTTGGTTCGAAGGAGGCCGGGACGAATCAATGAAAGAGAACTGCTGTGCCAGTTTTCTTTTTCTCTCTGAACCATGAAATCCTTCTGGTGGCCGTAACGAAGCCATAGGTCTATAACGGCTCAAAAACGAGTGTGCCTATGCGATGTTTGAGAATTGGTAACCATGGCGCGAGGGTGAATATTTCTGACGGTGATTGATGTCGAAGAGTCAGTCGGGCGTGTAAGTCGAGCTTCTCCCAGTTGAGTGGAGCGAGGGACGTTGTTCGCTCCCGTCTGGTGCAAGGAAGTGGAGGTGGTCAAAGCTCAAGCTACCGCTCTATCGCGATAGGAAATGCGCTCGTCCTATCGGCTGATGTCATTCCACACCTTACGACCAAGAAGGAAGGCGTGAAGGAAAGTGAGGGTAAGAGCGGCTCTTTGAGATCAAACTTTTGCATTGAAAGCTGAGATTACTAAATAGTCCCAACAAGGTAGTACCACGCTGGCGCACAATACGTAGCGGGAATAATTGCAACAAAAAGTGGTCAGAGTCCCCGAGACGTCCGCTTGATGTGGGGTAGAGGTCTTCTTCGAGGGGCCAAGTTTGCTCAACTGTCATCACCATCACCATCCTCGTCGTCATCACGATCACTGCTATCAGCAGCATCAACAACATCCTCCAACCTCCTCTCCTCCCAGTATCAGCGTGGCCGTTGGTTTGGTTCCAGCACCGCAAACATGGCTCCCATTCGCGACCCCAACACCTTGTCCAACTATGACGCCTGGAGGACTCGTCACACCACGGCGAACCTCAAGATCGACTTCACAGACAAGTGTCTGCGCGGCTCCGTCATCCTCGAGCTCGAGTCCCAGACGGACAAGGCCAGCAAGGAGATCATTCTTGACTCCAGCTATGTTGCCGTGAGCTCCATCAAGCTCAACTCGGCCCCCTCGACGTGGGAGACCAAGGCCCGCACCGAGCCGAACGGCTCTCCGGTTCACATTGCCGTACCTGAGGGTGCCGCCAAGGGCGAGGTCGTCAAGGTCGAAATTGAGCTTGCCACCACGGACAAGTGCACTGCCCTGCAGTGGCTCACCCCGGCCCAGACCAGCAACAAGGCGGCCCCCTTCATGTTCAGCCAGTGCCAGGCCATCCACGCCCGCTCGCTCTTCCCCTGCCAGGACACCCCCGACGTCAAGAGCACTTACGACTTCAACATCACCAGCCCCTACGTTGTTGTGGCCAGTGGTGTGCCCGTACCCAACGAGACCAAGGATTTGGGCGAGGAGAAGTTGTACAAGTTCCAGCAAAAGGTCCCCATCCCGTCCTACCTCTTTGCCCTCTCATCTGGAGATATCGCCAGCGCCCCTGTCGGCAAGCGCTCTTGTGTTTGCACCGGCCCCAACGAGCTCAAGGAGTCTCAATGGGAGTTGGAGGGTGACATGGACAAGTTCCTGGAGGCTGCGGAGAAGATTGTGTTCCCTTACAGGTGGGGAGAGTACAATGTTCTTGTCCTCCCCCCTAGCTTCCCTTACGGAGGTGAGTGCAAGCACCGAGAAAATGGGTCTGAAAACGTCTTGTGAAAGCTGACCATGTGGCCCCGAAAGGCATGGAGAACCCCATCTTCACCTTTGCGACCCCCACCATCATCAGTGGCGACAAGCAAAACATTGATGTTATCGCGCACGAACTCGCTCACAGCTGGAGTGGAAACCTGGTCACCAGCTGCAGCTGGGAGCACTTGTACGTTGCAGGTTACTGATCATTTGTTCGTCAACGAGTGCTAACACCTGGGCAGCTGGTTGAACGAAGGATGGACCATGTATCTCGAGCGCCGTATTCTTGCCTCTATCCACGGCGGTGATGCCCACTTTGACTTTTCCGCCATCAGGGGCTGGAAGGCGCTGGGTAAGAACTATTGACACAGACCAGACTTGAATAAGGAGGAATTCCCCACTAACACGTTTTCCACAGAGGAGGCCATCAAGGAGTACGGAGAGGATCACGAGTTCACAAAGCTCTGCATCAGCCACAAGGGTATCGATCCCGATGATGCCTTCAGCACGGTTCCTTATGAGAAGGGTTTCCACTTCGTCTGGTCTCTCGACCGCCTTGTAGGAAGAGAGAACTTTGACAAGTTCATTCCGCACTACTTTGGCAAGTGGTCCAACAAGTCTCTCGACTCGTACGAATTCAAGGACACCTTCCTCGAGTTCTTCAGCGCCCCCGAGTACTCTGATCTCAAGGACAAGATTGCTTCGATCGATTGGGAGGGTCGCTTCCACAGCACCGGCCTTCCCCCCAAGCCCGAGTTCGACACCTCCCTTGCGGACGTGTGCTACGAGCTGGCTGAAAAGTGGAAGAGCAAGGACTTCACCCCTAGCCCATCGGACGTTTCGTCCTGGACTGGTAACCAGGTGTTGGTTTTCCTCAACGCCGTGCAGGACTTTGAGGAGCCCTTGACGGTTGAGCAATCGGTAAGTTTCAAGTGTCTTGACTCTCTATTGCCAGTCGGCAGCATGCTAACACCCTCGCAGCAAGCACTCGGCAAGGTCTACGGCCTCTCTGAATCCAAGAACGCCGAGCTCAAGGCCGCCTACTACCACATTGCGATGCGCTCCAAGGACGCCAGTGCTTACCAGGGCGTTGCTGACCTCTTGGGAGAGGTTGGTCGCATGAAGTTCGTCCGCCCTCTCTACCGTGGCCTCAACAAGGTCGATCGAGAGCTTGCGCTCAAGACCTTTGAGAAAAATCGTGAATTCTACCACCCTATTTGCCGCCAAATGGTTGAGAAAGATTTGGGCGTTGCTGAGGCGGCCAAGTCGTCTTAGGCGGTTTCTTTCTGTTTCGGGGGAAGTCAGTGACTACTAGGTAGTTCAGGGTATGCCAACCTGAGCTGTTAGTGTTTAGGATAATTAAAAAATGGGTGATGATGGGTATCAGCATGTTCACATAATAGCAACCTCGGGCAATGCTCATGATGGCGGCTATAACTGTTGTGATTATATATCTGTGGTGCCGAAGGTGGTAGATGACCACCTACATACCTCTACGTATCAGAAGCAGCTTGTTAGCTGGAAACGTTTTTGGTGGGTCAAGTACATACAGCACTTTGTGAACCGTCCAAAAAGGATTTCATCTCTTTCCGTCTGAAAGAAACATATTGGACGACTAGTCAAGCTGTGATGTTGTCACTTGTCAGGGACATGAAGAGAAGTGACCAATGAGAGAGCGATCCGCTGCCGGAATCTAGCACATGCCAGGGCGTGCACGAGCACAGCGGGCATCTCCTGGTTTACAGGGCAGTGGTGACACTGCTGCGCGCCTCGCGTCACAGGCTTTCCTTCCAAGCTATCACGTTCATAGCGGCATGCTGCGGGGACACTCTTTGCAGAAACCCGCTGCAGGCGCCAATGGCGGGATCGAATCGAGGCAACGACTCAGCTGGAACCCGAAGCAAGGAACCAACAACTACAAGCCAGCTGCCAACCTGTCAGAGTCAACCGAGCACGGGCAGGCATCGTTCGCTCCCTTTCCTTCGACCAGACAACCCGCGTCCTGTTGATCGACACCTTGACTTTTTGTTACGAGTTGACGATTTCCCGAGCATTGCCTGTTGCGCGACACAATACGCCGGCTTTGCAGCTTCCGGGCTGCGGTCGTTGAACGACTGAACACGCAACCCTAGGACCCTACCAAGCTAGCATCTCCCTTTTGCGACAGCGTCAGCGGCTGCCACAACAACGGCGACGATCACGGGCTCTTCACGGGCACTTCACACTCCACGGCCCCATATCCCCAGTCGCTCTCCCCCGTGCGCCGTCACCCGCCCACCTGCAGCGATTTACCGTCGACCAGGCGACAGGCGACCGTGGTAAAGCAACATAATACGGCAGCGAGCCACCGACATCTCGACTATCTCTCCTAGAAACCGAGCTGGCCTCGACCCTTCCGCAGCAGCTCCCGGCGCATGGTAGAATGAGTGACGTTGCCGTTCGGCCGGATCTGGAAAACACATGTTGGCACGTTCGGAAGCTGTAACCACGCCCGAATAAGATCGACTGTTTAGAGAAGCCCTCCCAGACGAATCGCGAACCTCTTTCGACAGCTCCTTGGTCACTCGTGTGGCCAGCCGATATATATATACAGCACTGTGACGCTCCGCGACACCGGCAGAGCTATCTCGCGACGCCATGGCTCCAGGCGCGGCCCCAATGGGGGGTGGAGGAAACATCAAGGTTGTGGTCAGATGCCGTCCCTTCAACGGAAGAGGTGAGTGTTTATATACGCGAAAGCTCTGTTACCGGCGCTGAAGAGCGAAACCTTTAAAGAAGGGAAACCCACGGAAAGCGCTCGTTCCTACGTCATACAGACAGACACTGATGATGCGACTACCCGATTCCAGAACACGACCGCGGCGCACAATGTATCGTCGAGATGAAAGACAACCAGACGGTTCTCACCCCTCCGCCTGACGTTGTAGCAAAGGGTGGTAAGGACCAAGGCCAAAAGGCTTTCGCTTTCGACAGGTCATACTGGTCCTTCGACAAGAATGCGCCCAACTACGCCGGACAAGATCAACTACACGAGGACCTGGGCAAACCGCTGCTCGACAATGCCTTCCAGGGCTACAACAACTGTATCTTTGCCTACGGTCAAACCGGTTCCGGCAAGTCCTACTCGATGATGGGATATGGCAAGGATGCTGGTATCATCCCCATGATTTGCCAGGATATGTTCAAGAGGATAAACGAGATGCAACAAGACAAGAATCTGCGCTGTACAGTGGAAGTCTCCTACCTCGAAATTTACAACGAACGTGTACGCGACCTGCTCAACCCGGCGAACAAGGGCAATCTCAAGGTCCGAGAACATCCGTCAACGGGTCCCTACGTCGAAGACTTGGCGAAGCTTGTCGTGGGGAGTTTCCAGGAGATCGAGCACTTGATGGACGAGGGAAACAAGGCTAGAACAGTTGCGGCCACCAACATGAACGAAACCTCCAGTAGAAGTCATGCTGTCTTTACCCTAATGTTGACCCAAAAACGATTCGATCCCGAGACGAAAATGGAAATGGAAAAGGCAGCCAAGATCAGTCTGGTGGATTTGGCAGGTTCGGAAAGAGCAACGTCTACCGGAGCTACCGGCGCCCGTCTAAAAGAAGGTGCCGAAATCAACCGGTCTCTGTCGACACTTGGGCGCGTTATCGCAGCCCTAGCAGACCTCTCCACCGGGAAAAAGAAGAAAGGGTCTGCGGCCGGCCAAGTACCATATCGTGACAGTGTCCTCACCTGGTTGTTGAAGGATTCGTTAGGCGGCAACAGTATGACGGCGATGATAGCGGCCATCAGTCCAGCCGATATCAACTACGACGAGACGCTTAGTACACTCCGTTATGCTGATTCGGCCAAGAGGATCAAGAACCACGCTGTTGTCAATGAGGACGCCAATGCCCGCATGATCCGCGAGCTAAAGGAAGAACTAGCTCAACTGAGAAGCAAATTGGGCGGTGGTGGAGGCGTCGGTGGCACTCATGTTCCGGGAGAGGAGGTTTACGCAGAGGGAACGCCATTAGAGAAGCAGATTGTCAGCATCACAACGCCGGACGGCACCGTCAAGAAGGTCTCCAAGGCCGAGATTGCAGAGCAGTTGAATCAGTCCGAGAAGCTTCTGCAGGATCTGAACCAGACATGGGAGCAGAAGCTGCAGAAAACCGAAGAAATCCACAAGGAACGTGAAGCTGCGCTTGAAGAACTGGGCATCAGCATCGAAAAGGGCTTTATCGGCATGTCGACCCCCAAGAAGATGCCCCATTTGGTCAATCTTTCGGACGACCCGCTATTAGCAGAGTGCTTGGTGTATAATCTGAAACCAGGCTCAACAAGTGTCGGCAACGTCGAGTCAAACGCGGAGAACCAAGCAAATATTCGCCTCAATGGGTCGAGGATCCTCCACGAACACTGCGTTTTTGAGAACGCGGCTGATGGAACGGTGACTGTCATCCCAAAGGAGGGTGCGGCTGTCATGGTGAACGGCAAACGAGTGACTGAGCCGACTCGACTTCACTCTGGATACCGCATCATTCTGGGCGACTTCCACATTTTCAGGTTCAACCATCCTCTTGAAGCGAAAGCGGAACGAGCAGAGCGTGCCGAGCAACAGAGTCTGCTGAGGCAATCCGTCACAGCAAACCAATTACAGGCCATGGAGAAATCACCAGCTCTAAGTCCCAGACACGACCACCACAGAAGCCTTAGTACGGCAGTGTCTGAAGGCGACAGCAGCCGTCCAGATTCACCCGCGCCGTTTTCAAGAAACACAAAAGAATCAGATTGGTCCTTTGCGCGAAGGGAGGCGGCAGGGGCCATCCTTGGAACGGATCAAAACTTTGCGAAACTGACAGACGAAGAATTGAATGCCCTTTTTGAGGACGTGCAACGAGCACGAGCTGAAAGAGTGAATGTTCGGGAAGGGGATGAAGATATGGAGTCCATGGCGTCGTATCCGATAAGGGAGAAGTACATGTCCACCGGCACTCTCGACAACTTCTCTCTGGACACCGCCCTAACCATACCATCCACGCCCAAACACGGAGAGACGGAGGAGAAGCTGGGTCAGATTCGAGACGTGATGCAGAGCCAACTCGACAAGCAGAAGGAGGAGTACAAGGATCAGCTGAAGACGGCCGAAGCAGCGAACGTGGAGGTGGAGGAGATCAAGAAGGAGAAGGCCAAGATGGAGGAAACGTTGATGCAGCTCAAGGTCGACATGCAGAAACAGCTGGAGGTGCAAAGACGCCAGTTCGAGGACAAGATCGAGAAGTTGGATCCGCTCAAGCGGCCGAAAGCGAACCCGAAGCTCTCTGCAGACGAGATTGAGCGTGCGAAAGCGGTGGTTAAGAAATGGAGGAGTCGACGCTACGTCATCATGGCCGAGGCAGTCTTGCAGCATGCTGCCACTCTTAAGGAGGCACAAGTCATGAGTCATGAGCTCAATGAGAGCGTCGTCTTCCAGTTCACGATCGTAGACGTCGGCCATCTTATTTGTTCATCTTACGACATGGTGCTTAATGGGCTGACTGGTGAGGGAGACGATATTGCTCTCGAAACAGCACCGAAGCCGTGCGTCGGCATTCGCGTCGTTGACTACAAGCACAGTGTCGTCCACCTTTGGAGCATAGAAAAGCTCCACGATCGGGTGAGGCAGATGCGGCAGATGTTCCAGTATCTGGATCAACCGGAATACGCGCAACACTTGAGCCTGGGTAACCCCTTCGTGGAGACATGTATGCCACAATACACATTGGTGGGCGAAGTCGATGTCCCGTTGAAGACCGTCTTTGAGAGCCGGGTACAAGACTTCACCCTCGACGTGACATCCCCGCACACATCACACGCTATTGGCATGATCAAGCTGGCGTTAGAACCTTCCAGCGCGAGGGCGCCGACAAATACGCTCAAGTTTAACGTGGTCATGCACGAGATGATCGGATTCGCTGAACGCGAAGGCACAGAGGTGCACGCCCAGCTTTTTATCCCTGGCATTTCTGAGGAGGACGGTATTACCACCACCCAGATGATCAGGGACTTTGACGAGGGGCCCATCCGGTTCGAGAGCGTTCATAGTATGAGCATTCCGCTGTTTGCGTCTCAAGACACGTCGTTGAGGGTGGCTATTTTCGCCAAGGTTTCAGCGATGCATCTTGACAAGCTGCTCAGCTGGGATGACATGCGCGATGCGGTACCGATGTCCCAAAGCAAGTCGAAGGGTGCAAGAATCAACGAATCCCACTTCTACACCGAGGAGAAGCACGACTTGCTTGCGCGGGTACAGATACTGGAGCTGAACGAGGAGGGCGATTATGTGCCCGTCGAAGTTACACAGACAAGCGAGCTTGATAACGGCACGTTCCAGCTTCATCAAGGGCTGCAAAGACGGGTCGCCATCACCGTTACCCATAGCTCGGGCGATGCTCTACCATGGAACGATGCAAAATCTTTGCGCGTCGGCAAGATTGCACTCCTGGATAGCGCAGGCAAAACACCCGACATGGGCTCTGCCAGTCCTCCTCTGCCCCTTCGACTCGTATCTGAGCCTACGTTCCGGGTGAACGCCAATGGAACCCGGAGCGTTACCCTGATCGGACAGTGGGACTCTAGTCTTCATAATTCGTTGTTGCTCGATCGTGTCACGTCAGAAAAATACCGCGTGCAAATGACTGTCTCCTGGGAGATCGATTCGGAGAAGCTCGCCGAGCCGATCAAGTTCTCTCTTCCGGTTGCCGTCCAGATCGTGTCTCGCAACTTCGTCCGCCAAACGTCCATGTTCTCCTCGCTCTGGCAGAACATTCGCATCGTCCATTCTTCCACAGGTATCTTCACGGTGCAGATGCGCCCGGCGCCTATCAAACGCGTCGGTGACCTATGGCGAATGAGTAGCCAGCATGACTATGTCAAAGGCGAAGAGAACCTTGGGACTTGGACGCCAAGGGGCGTGTCACTCGTGGCAGACTACATCACTGCACGGAAGAAGAAGAGGATGATGACGGAGCTTACTGCGGTGCAAGGGTGCTTGAGAAAGCTTGGATTTAGTGATCCGAATGACTTGTCGAATGGAGTGGATGATGTAGAGGACAATTCTGATCTGCCACCACCTAAAACCAATAGTGAGACGGACTCCATTGCTGAGCTACTGAAAGATGACCCGCCAGAGGTGTCTGAGCTGTCGCCGTCCCAAGAACGAGTGTCTCCAAACGACGAAGCTGCACCAAGCGCCGAGTCAAAGGAGGAGGAGCATGAAAATGGTGCAGAACCCAATCAACCCACGCCAGACGCCACCGACTCCGCCAAACCTCCTTCGGAGTATACGGACGCTCAAACCTATCTTCTCAATCGTTGCCTCGAGCTCTGGCAATGCTACCCAGACCCAACAGTCAAGATCCTCAGCCCTGCTAATACCGACCCGCCTACTGATGGCTGCGCCGACTCCAATTCTGATCAGAATTCCACCTTGGAGTTTATGGCCTCCGTCATCCGCGTGCCCAAGAACCCCACCGTCCTCAAGGGTGGCTACCTCCTTGTCCCCAACAACGATGCGACCAAGTGGAACAAACGGTTCGTCGAGCTGAGGAGGCCATATCTCCACATCCACAGCGTCGCAGATGGAGAGGAGATCGGGATCGTCAGTCTGAGGAACTCGCGCGTCGACAGCCAACCGGGGATATTAGGTTTGCTGAACGATGACTATGGCGCTGGGGGATCTGATGATGGTTACGGGTCACTAGACAACCTGAACGGAAACATGGACAACCACCGAGCCACTAACGGTCGCTCAAGTGGGCTCCTAGACACCATTATGAGTGGTAGTTCGGGCGGCTCGGGAGGCAGGACATCCAACAGCAACGTCAGCACAACACCCCAACAACGCCGCTCACCCACCTCCCTCCTCATCTCCTCCCTCTGGCCCACCTTCAGCCCACTCCCTTCGCCCAACCCGACGACTTCCGCAGCCAGGAGCAGCAACGGCAGGCTAGCAAGCGGCGGTAGCAGAGCATCAGCCGTTTCCCTCCGCAGCAACACCAGCTCCCCGGCGTCATCCACAGGCACGCTTGCCACCAACACCAACACCAACGGACCCTCACCATCGTTGGGACCTCCTCATCATCAACAAGGTGGTGCTGGTGGTGGACTCTCCCGCCTGAGCGAGCGGCTGCAGGCAGGCGTGTTCGCCATCTACGGGACGGACAACACGTGGCTGTTTGCGGCGAGGAGCGAGAAGGACAAGATGGCTTGGATTTGGAAGATTGATCAGAGTTATATGATGACTAGTCCGAGCGCGAGCGTGGCGGGGAGTAGAGCGGGGAGTGCAAGGGGCAGTAGGGCGGTGAGTCCGAGTCCGGGGGCGAGGAGGACGAGCGCGAGGGTTAGTCAGTTGAGGTTGAGTTGATTTTTGCCCATGAAGATGGTGATGGTTGGGGGGTGGAGCAAGAAGGGATTGTTAATGGGGAAAGAAGAAAGGGATGGATGGGATGGGTAGCGGAAGTTTGGTTGTTGCTGCTGCTGTTGCTGCTGCTGCTTGCTTGGTACATTACGTGCATTCAGGGATACCCAGTGGGAAATATAGACATCATTATCGTGCGAACTCTGTTTTATATCTTGGTTCTTCTTGGTCTTTTTGGTTGTATATATCTCTGTTGCTTGCTTGCGCTCTAGCTTGACGAGATTCAAGCATGATATATATACATATCCGTGTAAGAGATGCTGAACATGCATATTTAAATATGACGGCTTTTATCTAGCGACCGCCGCCATTGTTTATGTTTTGCCGAATCGGGAAGAAAGCCTTCAGGGGCTTGCCGGGCCCGGGCTCGGGCTGCCTCCCGGCACAGCTCACGGCCGGAAATACTATTTTTGACAAAGCCACTCCGAGACTGGTTTTGGACATTCGACACTCGCTCAGCGCCGGCCTATCATGGGCCACGGTGGCATGGTAAGGGAACATCAACAAGCCGACTGACTCCCCAATGCTTTCGCCAGGCTTAGGGTTAGGGTTTCACCTGTGATGTTGTTCAGTTCTCTTGTAAGCCAGGTTGACAGCTTCATCTTGTGTGAGCTTGGATAGCTGGATGGGAGATCAGTGGGGCATCCACCGCGAACCTGAATATCAAGCGTGGGGCCCTTGTCTTTTAAATACCTCTATGCGCTATCAGCCGCTCGCTTCAAGGACAAGGAGTCCTGTTAATACCGGTGGTTGGCTACATTTTCCTTCATTGCTGTCTAACTGTGGCTTATGCTCTTTGCCCTCCCACGACACCTTACCGCAGTAGACTGCCCCTCTGTGTGCTACCAATATTATGTACGCATATGGTCCATGATCAGTAGAAGTTTGTCGCGGTGGCTGGGCCAGTGCTAGGGTGGGGACGAGTGGCCGCCGTGCCCGGGTTTGGGCTGCGCCTTCGTCATTCGGGTCCAGTCCCTCCTCCTCGATGCGCTGCACGACAGGCGGGCACCCTGGTTGGTGACCCACTTCCGTTCGGGGGTTTCCACTTGCCAGGCACTTGCGACAAGACAAGATTCAGACGAAGACGCTCAAACCACATCTTGCACGACATCGCCAACCTCCTCTTCTTCCCTTGGACCAGCTCAGCTAGCTGTCTGTTTTCCAGCGCTTTACCCTTCAGGATATCTGTCGTCTGACCTCCAAGAGTCTGTACCGTCATCAGCAAACACTTCGGGTTGCTCTGTCACAAGGCTGTTGCACGCGCGCGCATCGCACCATCGCACATACATTGCATCGACATTGCACATTGCCCTGATCCCAACCCGGGCCTTCGTACCTGCCGTTACGGCTGTCATCCCAACTTCGAAACCGGCCTAGCAGAGCATAGACGCCCCGAGTCTCAAGAGCTTAATTCGACGACCGTGATACATCGAGGAACCAACCCAACCCCTCCAGCGCTACACCGCGGTGTTGCCAGTTGAAACAAACAACAAATAAAACATATCAACACCACCGACTCATCATCACAGATTGGCAACAATGGGCTGGAAAGCTTGGGAGCTCGACCCGGAGAAGATCCCCCTCTTCAAATTGATCTTCCACGTTGCCCAGATTGTTTTGGCCTTTGTAGTATGGTGTTTGGAGATTGCCGTCTTCAAGGCTGATAAGGTGCCCATCAATGGCCAAATTGGCTGGACCTTTGCAGTGGTACGTCGAACTCACGTATTTCCAATAGAGGAAAACCAGAGACTGATTTTGCCAAACCACAGTTCTTCATTTCGATACCCGCGTGGATCTACCTAGGCATGGCCCCGCGCTTCCCTCGGACACGCAAGCTCGCCCAGCCGCATGCCATGCTCGCTGTTGACGCCGCATTCGCCATCATCTGGATTTCTGCCTTTTCCACCCAGGCTGCATTTAATACTGCTGGATCATGCATGTCTGTATGCGGCATCAGCAAGGCCATCGTCGGTCTTGGCTTCTTTGTTTTGTATGTCCCACCAGCGAGCGCAAAGACCCCCCTCGACCCCCTCACTAACAAATCTGATATTCAGCCTCTTCTTCTGTGTCACCACGTTCCTGAGCATCTACACCCTCATGTATTACAAGTGGAACAACCGCCTCCCCGGCTACGACAACCTGCACGCCCGCAACCAGAACATCGACCCCGACAAGGCCGCCTTTTCGCTCGCCCCCCACGACGAAGAAGCCTACGCGCCCGTCAACATGAACGACCGGGACGACGAGCACAGCCAGATCGGCGGCGGAATCGGCGGCCACTCGGACTACGACGACACCAACACGCACCTCGGCGGCCAGATGGGCGGCGGCGGCGGCGGACGCTCCGACTACTCAGACCCCTACGGCGCCCCGACGGCTAGCAGCCTCTCGGTCGACCCGTACCGGGGCCACACGCCCCTGAGCAACATGACGCCCGATCCGTACCGCGGCCAGACCCCTCTGAGCATGAACACGGCCCACACGGTCGACCCGTACCGCGGCGCCACCCCCCTGACCGATTTATCTGCTGACCCATACAACCGCGGCGTGACGCCGAGCTACCTGGGAAGCCAAACCAGCCGGTACGGCGCCAGCTCGGTGGCGCCGTCGGAGAACCCGTTCAGGCAGGATAACCCGTTTGATAATGACAACGACTATCAATCCTCCGTCGGCGGCGGGAGCAGGTATGCGCCGCCTAGCGTGCATGATGGGGACTACGAGGATGAGCCATCGACGAGATTCCCCGCCGCCCCCTACGGCCGGGTAGGAATCGAACGTGGGAACGTGTAAAAAGGGATAAAAGAAGAAGGGAGGGGAACTGAAGTCATGGGATTTGGAAGAGCTGGACTTGGCTGGTTGACTTTGGATTTGGAAGCGGATAAAATACCGGGTAGCCAAGGTATACGCTGCAGCATGCTTAGGTCATGTGTAAAGTGTCTTGGCTACCTGCTTTCTCTTTTGTTACTTATGGGGGCTGGCTGGCATTAGACGAAACATTTGGGCTTTTTCTTCTGTATGTATGTGTGTAGGCTTTTGCTTTATGGGGTGTCGTTGGCGAGGCGTCACAGGTCCTTGTTGATTTATCATGCATGAAAAAAGGAGAGAGATACCTTTATGATTCAACGACAACAAATCACATGGTTCCCATATCGGCTCCGTTGAAATGTTTTATCTATGCCATTCTCTTTATGTCCCCCTTCGTTGTGGATATCTAGTATATGACTCTAGGTGGTATACAATACGATATATGTGGCTGAATTGACTCTAAATTCTTTCCATGTACTTTGAGAAACGCCTAAAACGCCCGTGGCCTTCGTGAATAGTATGTATGCTGCACAGAAAATCCTGACCCCCGTCCCGTCATCCTTTTTGCTTTCTCTTATTATCGCTGAGCAAGGGAGCGGAAGTTAAAATAGTTCCGTCATGGTTGCCGTGCGGGTTGCGACGTTGACCAATGGAGTCCTCTTTTCCACGGTTGGGATTGGGATGGGGGACTTGGGACAATTTGTCCGCCTTTCCACGAGAGCGTCGCCCCATGAAACAAAAAGTGATGAGGCGACAGTGGCGGGGGGAAGAAAGAGAGATTCAACGGCTGCTCCCTAAACCAGCTTCTCCAGTCCGAGAGAGCTCGGGAGAAGAGAGATTTGGACTTGTCTCTCTCTCTTTCTCTGACTGGTGCAAAGCGAGTTGAAGCTCTCTTACTCCCTCCCGCCGGCTCTCCTAGCCCAGCCTACTGGATGAGGCTGGACATTGGTCCAAACATCTGTCGTCCAGGCTCTCTCGCCTCTACCCTTCTCTTCCCAGCACGAACCCAACACCCCATTGCACAGTAATCACACTCCAAAGGTGGCGGTGTTCACATCACACTCGCGCATGCAATTTGCCCCCTTCTTCCTTCCCTCGTTTCTTCGTCCATTTCCTTACTGCAACAAGCCAGCCTTCTTCAACCGCTTGGCAATATCACCCTTGGTCTGCTGCATCGGGTTCAGCTTAGGATCGCGCACCATGGCCGCCACATCGTCGCCGTGCTTAGCCACCAGCCTCTGCAGCCACTCGAGCTCGCGCTCGCTCTGGTACCGCACCGTCTTCTCCACGGGGCGCGACGCCTCCTCCTCGAGCATCCGGATCACCTCGGGCCGGCTGCTCTGGGCAATCATCTCTTGGCGATCGTCGCTGATGCCGTTCCATTCGATATCGTGGGTCGGGTTTCTAGGCTTGGGTTCCTCGGATTCGGAGTCGGACTCGATCTCGTTGAGCGGGTCGTTGAGCGGGTTGTCCGAGCGCAGGACCTTGACGATCTTGCCCGAGGCGTCACGCTCGACCTTGACCTCGCGCACCTCGAGCAGGCCGCGGTCGATCGACTTGACGGCCAGGGGGTCGTCCTTGGTGATGCCGGCGTAGTTGGCGGCTGCCGACTTCTTGGCCATGCCACCGGCGGCGGTGCCGAGCTTGGCGACGAGACCGAAGCGGGAGTAGTTCTGAGAGAGGGTCTCCTTCTTGTTCCTGTAGTACATCAAATTTAGATGTCAGTACTCAATCTTCTCGAAACTTAGAGGAAAAACGGGAGAATAAGGTACTGACCAGGCCTTGGCAACGATACCGCTGCCCTGGGGGTTCAAGTGCTTCTTCTTGATGGTGTGCGTCTGGACGGTGGCGCGAGACGAGCGCTTCTTGCGCTTCTGGAGTTCTCTGCCCATTGTTGGTGTGGTTTCCGGGGGAAAGGTACTGAGTGTTGTTGCTGAAAGGACAGGAGTTCGACTGCCAAAATACTGGAAAAGAAGAAGGCGGGGTGGGAGTGAAACAGGCAAAAACGATGACGGCGACGACGACAACGAAGGCGGAAGTTGACCAAAATTTCTGGGGAAACAACCCCAGAGAACTCGATTGAACTGGAACTGCAATGGCTCCTGTCCGATAAGAGAATTATAGTGGGGCCGCTGTCTGTTATCGGCACCAGTGCTGAACTTTGTTACTTCAGTCTGGTCGCCAGCTGGCAAGACAGAGGGCCGTAACAAAGATACAGTCCCTGAGTGTAATGGTGTATCGTATGTAAGCACGTAAGTTACGCTCCCTCAGCTCTCCAATGCTCTTATCTCTTGCCTTTATCACCATCACCCGTTCGTTCGTCAACGAGGTCTTCTCTTAAGAGTAATGATGGCACTTGCAAGTACCTAACGATCAATCCCTCGGGGATTGGACCCCCAAACTTCATAGCCACAGCCACGGCTTCTTGCCCCTTTGGTGAGGCGCCAGCGGCCGCGCCAGTCACCAAGACGGGCAACATCGTGACCACCATCCACAACCACCACCTCACCATCATCACCATGATCGTCACCAATTGGAGATATGAAAGGACTTATAACCAATTGTTAGCATGCCTACCTACGCACTTTGCAGGTTTCCCGGAAGGGTAACTCACTCCCGTCCCGTCCCCGAACCTCCTCCGTGGCCTCCGCCACCATCCATCCATTCACGCAGGCACGCAGCAGGTCAACCTGAAATCTCATTTCTTCAAACTCAACCCGCCTCCGCAAATGTTGGCCCTCGCACTTCCGAAGACGTTCGGTATGCGAAATAACTGGTGACATGTTTCATTGAAGTACTTCAGTCATCAATCACCCTGCGACATGCCGGACAATGCCCGAAGAGCCCGGAGGAACACTCTCAAAATGGGAAGCCGTTCGACCATGGGGGCATAGCGGCCAGCCAATTGTCTTTCACCGTTTCCTAGGCGTTTATACCTAAACAGTGACCCAGGTCGTCCTTCAACTTCCCCAATTCCCTTCCCACTCCCCTCCCACACTCACTCCGCGAACCCCATCCAACCCCAATGCAACATCGAGACATTCAAACCTCGTGAGGAGGAGCGTCTGCTGGAATAACCGCCTTCCTCTTTAAGCTTAGGGCGGGACTCAGCCATGAGTTTTGTCGAAATGAGCGGGGGATTGGGATACAGCCAGCGGGATGTGGGAGGAGGAGGTATATACTTCTCAGTACCTTCTACTTGGACACGCGAGTTGATGATGGGTAGGTACCTCTAGGTGAGCACCGTGAGGTAGGATATTTGAGTGGTAACGAGTGAAAAGGGAACCTTTTGAGTAGTATCACCTCATGCTTGGAGATAACTGTGAGTTTGAGCAAGAGTTTTTCTGGACTTAACTCGGTCTGTCAGTCAGTCAGTCACAGAATTCACGATCGATCTCCGTCGACGACAGCGTGAGAAGGACGGGCGGGGAATTCGGGGCGGACACACAAAGGTAATCGCCCGTCTCACACACTCAGATCGACCTCTTTCCCCTCTCACGAATGTCTCGAATCTGCAACAGAACGTGGAAGTCTTGCGTCTCCAGATCTTGAGTTTTAGTTTCTACTGTGTAGTATTCTCTTCTTCGCCCCCTCTCCTTAGTTCTCTGGAGATTTCACGGCCTACTGCACCGGATGCCGCGAAGAGTCTAGGCAAGGCGCTACCCCGGATTTTGAGATGTACGTACGTAAGTTGGTGAGTGATCTTTCTCCTCGGGGCTTTTGACAGTCGGTTGATGATCGAAATGAGCATCTACCTAGACCAACCAATATCACCATCAACCGAGTTTCAGTACTCAGCAGCTACCTACCTACCTACCCACCTACTTGTTTCCAATTGCTCTATCTCCTTTGTCTGTTCTTTTTAGAGTTCTTAGGTACAGCATAAGCAGGGCAGGTAGAGCTCATAGCTATGAAATCCCCCGTCAAATCGACGATGCCTTCGTCTACCTCACCGCCGTCATGCCACTCACCATTTGCCCACTCACACTTCACAGTCACACACACACACCTCTACACCTCTCAGCCCACAGCTTATGGAATCATTCATGCTCTCCTTCCCGAAATTCGTCCGCCCCTCCCCCCATCATCACCAAGCTCACACGCAGTATGATGGAACACTGCGATCTTTTTCTCATTCCCATTCCTTGTGACAGAGGATGAGTGGGCGGCAGTAGCAGGCAGGAGTCAAGCATTTCCATACCTTGCAAGCATCTAGAATACCTCCCAGGACCAGACCCCCAAAGAAAGGACTTTAAAGGCAGGTAGTATTTAGATATGAGTACATGCATACTCCCCTGTTCGATGGGCACTGTTACTTGTGTAGCTACGGTACCATCTTGCGTTTCTCGGTAGACCTCTGAGTACCACTCAGGCATTATACCCAAGTCGGTAGCCAAGACGAAGGATTACGATGATGCCATCGCCGCGGTAACCTTGGCGATGTATGTACCTTCCAATGTATGTCGGTAAGTATGGGGGATAACCCGACATGGCGGATAGGAACGGTGGAAAAAGAACCGAGAGAAGGCGGGTTTCCGAACCGAAATGCCATCGAAAGCCGATGAAGGAAGGAACGGGCGTGGTCGATGGAGCCTGTCGAACCCCCGCGATCAACGTAGGAACGAGTGTCAGGGTCCTTTGATGCGCCCCATGGCTCCTTCCTTTGTCTCGCTGTTCGGGCATAGAACCTCAGTTCGGATCGGTGTGCAGTAGTAATTTTGTTCATTTCTCTCGACGGGCAAGAACCAGATGCCTGCCCAACTAGCTTCTCTTCCTATCCGAAGCTAAACAAAACCACAAACCAAAAGAGCAAACCCTTTCCCGTATGCTCCCCCACCCGTCATCCCATGCATCCATCCCTGGTCATATATGCATATAGTAGTACATGTAAAGGAAGGCTATTTTTTGTGTGTGCCTAAGCGCCGTGACCAGACCCAAACCAAACAAGTAATCCGAAAACAGAGAGATCCCGCTCCCAAAAGATGGACAAAACACCAGTAAGTAGTAATAGCAGCAGTAAGCCAAAGCAACCAACCCCCTTTCACCTGTTCATGCTGAACATACAATCACCCCCATGCCGCCTTTTGAATGTCAGAACATGATCCATTCAACATCTACACCAGGTCCCCCGATGCACCTCGACCAGTTGAATGGTCCGCTGCGCATCATGCCTCTCATTTTGGCACCGGGACCATCTTCCTTTACATCCTCTGCCCACAGGCGTTCCAGAACGTCCAAGGCAGCCATGTTGTTCATGTAGCCGCTGCGAGCCATAATATCGCGGCATTTGGACCGGACGATGTTCTGCTGTAACACGTTGACGCATTCGCTTCCAGCCACAAACAAAGGCCAGAGCAGGAACTTCTCCGCACTGCTGCCTGCTTCCAGGCCGGTGGCATAGTAGATAACCTGGCTGACCAGATCCCGGAAGTGACTATGAGAGCTGGGGAGGTTGGGACTGGCCAGGCGTTCCGTGTATAGAAGCGCCGCGTACCGGAACGCCTCGCTCAACGAGCTGAGATCGCGCACCTGTGAACCTGTAGGCGGCGGCGACGACGGTGTTGGGGCCAACGAGGCCACTACCCTCGATGCGTCAAACTCCCAGCTCTGCAGGGCAGTGCGCGCGTCCTTCCACTCGCGCCAGAATGTGCTGCCATGATCGTCGTATCCCATGGATGTGTGACCTATTCCCAGCATTTCGTCGTCCTCCATGGTCGAGCCAAATCCGCTGCCCTCAAACCTCATAGGCTGGAAGCTTCCAAGCATGTGATGCTGCTCAGGCGGGGATGGCTTGAAGCCGCCACCGAGAGGCGAAGGGGTGCCAGATATGCTGCTGCCGCGTGCACGCTGGGCGTTGGCCAGAAGGTTTTGTACCGGTCGATGCTGAGAAAGCAAGTTCAGACGACCTAGCTTGACAATCGTCTTGAATAGTTCACGATCACAGCCCACAAGATTTTCCGTACCCGGTGGGAGAAGTTGAGAGTCAGGAAGAAGGCCATAGAATGATGTGTTGAGCTGAGCTTCCCGGTCGTTGACGCTCGCGGTGATAGCATCAAAGTAAGTGAATAGCGCCTCCATCCATGCCGAGTCTCGTGATACAGGATAGGGAGACATTCGACGCAACCCTAGTATCTTCTTAACTCCTGCGAACTGGGTTTGAAACTTGGCAACGCCGGACTCAGCCATCCGGTAGTGGCAAAGTATGAGGATGGTAGCCAGGACTGAATCATGAGTTGACTTCTCCGGGTCATTAAGCTGCTCATTCAGCAGATGAACAGCTAGGTTCCTGTGCTGATACTCCTCAGAGAGGGACTGGTCCTCTGGCTGTGTATCCGAGTAACCGTCGAATGGGCTTGCATCTAATCGCTTTTCTCCAACGTCGCGCCTGTGCTGTCCAAGACTGAGCCGTCGCTTTATCCTGAGGTTGCATGCGGCGAGTGCACAGATGGCATGCTGCAAGCTCCTGCTAGTAGTACCAAGTTGCAAGATGTGTTCCCTGAACGGGTTGCTGGGGTCGTCGATAAAGACCATGCCGGGACAAATGGTCTTTTCATAGTAGTCCATGAAGAAAGGCATCTTATGGATGAGATCAGGGCTTACTCGCAGGATCGGGGAGGGCGATTGCGAAGGAAACGAAGCCGGCCACGGTAGTTGGTTATGCTCTTGGACGCTTTGCGAAAGTGATTCGTCGTCTGCGTTGGATGGTGCCCAGAACGGGCCGTGAGATTGGACGCTCGTACTAAACGTCTCCAAGTCGGATGGCGTTCCCGGCACTTAAATGGCGCTGCCGTTAGTATGGGTAGCCTGACCGCCGAGAATATAGTGGCTCACCGAAGACATCACATTCTTGCACCATCTTGCGACTCAACTGAGTTTCCAAGCTGTCCACATGAGATACACGCGAAGGGAGACTAGAAGTAGGCTCTGAGGGTGAGTAACTGAGGCTGGGACGTGAGGTCGGAGGCCTGTGAGGCTCGATCATGATAGCGGATGGAGGAGTATGCTGGACGGGTGAGCCATGGCCGGGATAGCTATCGTAGATAACGGTCGGGCTGTGAAGGGGACTGTGGATGTAAGAAACGTCGTCTCTCGGGAACGAGTGAGTGATGGGAGACATGTAGTCAGTTTCGCTTATAGAGTCCATGTGAGATGCCATGGAAGAAAGCGACATGCTCCTTCCTGGATATCCAGGGCCGTCGTGAGGAGACATGGGTGAAGTAAACGGGATGTGAGTCCAGCCAGGTGGTGGAGCTTCCGTCACGGGCGACATGTGAGACATATCGAAGTGATGAAAAGGCGGGCCCGACAGTGGTGAGTGAAGAGGTGAGTGAAGATCCATAGACGGCTGCTCTGTCCCTTCACGTTTGACACGATCCTCTGTCTCCGAGTACTGGCTGACGGATGCGATAGAGCTAGTGCGTTGCTTCGTTGTTGGCGACTTCAATGCCGTCACTCCTTTCCCGGGGTTCACTGGTGGTGACTTGGCGATGGGTAGCGACAGGCCTCGAAGCTTGCCTCGACTGGCAACACCGACACCCCAAGTCAACTGGGTCTTGTATCCCGAGCACTCATTTCCAATCTCGAGACATTGCGAACAATACGGCCTCCTCCGGTCGCACTTGACATTCCTCTTGGCGCAGGTAAAGCAGTCGTCGGCAGCTCCGCCAGCGGGCGCCCTTCTCCTACGCTTCCTCGCAGAGGCAGCATCCTTGACAGTCGCAGCAGGTGGGGTGTTGGTAGGGGCAGCCATGGTGGTGACGACTGCGGGACGTGGTGGTTAAGTATGCTGCAGGTATCGAGTCCCAAAGATATCATAAGGAGAAGCTATCCAAACAGTCGGCAGGCAAGTTTATCCAAGACACGGGTCCGGACTGTCGATGACGGAAGTTGAGTGGTATGGGTAAATGGGCGTTAATATGGAAAGACTTGGCCCATAGTAGGGAGGCGAATAGACCTGGGAAGTGGGAAAGAGTAAAAAAGAAAAGTAGAGGGGGTGACATCTAGCGATGGGGAGGCGGTCTCTGGTGGATGGCCAGTCTTTAACTGAAAACCCCAGCGACAGCTACGAAGAGTGAGAGAGTCCATCTAACGAAGCCGCGGGAGACATCGAGGCTTGTCTTGCATGCAGCATGGCCAGCCAGCAACCAAGCAGCAATTCGCCCGCTTGACCAGTCACCTAGCGCACTGCTTAGTCCTTAGTGTAGCCCGCTAGCGTATCGGTACCCCCTTGATATTGATGGGGTAGGCATGTACCTGTGTACACGAAAGTACAAGCCCGGTGCTTTTCCTCTCGAGTCTCCAGTGTTGCGCCCTCTCTGCCGGGGGCGGAAAGAGGCCCTGGAGTGGATGCAACGGCCGGCGAATAACAAATGAGAGGACACGAGAGCGACAAGGGGTGGTGAGAGTGGAGGAGACCGGTGTCTTGGTCGCACGCCCGCGCCAACACCATGCAAGTAGCAGCAGGCTCCATTCTGGTTCCCAGGTGGAGATGGTTCTTGAAAGGGTAATCCGCTCGAGACTGCCTGGTGCTTGGTTGCTGCGAATGATGAATAGGCATAACAGCAGCAGAGATGGTGAAATCGCCGAGGACAGAGCACCGTGTAAGCGAGATGCAAACCGTTGTTTGAGAAAATACCATATCGTCAAGGACGAGAGGCATCATGGGCAGCCGAGGATGTTTGGTTGTGTAGTCGAACAGGATTGGAGAGACAGTAAAGTGCAGTTAACTGTACGGCGCAGCCTCTCCTTGAGTAACCGAAGTCTCAAGCCTCCCGGGCGAATCCGCACATGGCAATCCCATGTCCGGCTCAGCTTCGGGAACTTGACGGGATGGATGGTTTGCTGTCGTTCATCTTCTCTCTTCGAGCCAAAGAGCCGAGAGGCGGCCGACTTGGGGATGAACATGTGTAGATATGTCTTGCCTATGGGCAACCAGTCAAGCCACTGACGAACCACTGAGACTGATTGGGGAACGATGCCCCTGAGCGCTGGGAAGACGGGATGCCTTCTGCGAAGAAAGCAAGTCCTGAAGAGGTACTAGTACTGTAAGTACGCCATAGCCATACTGCCAGTATAAAATCAGAGGTCGGCCAGGTGGAAGACACCTCGGCGTCGTCTCATTGCATTTGTTGCTCGATGTTGTGTCAAGATGAACGCTGGCTCACTGGACATGGATCCCCAGGCCCTGCGAGGCACGGTATCGTCGTGTGCAGGGACTGAAGGGCTTGATGGAGTCCCCTGGAAGTACCGAGCTTTTGGTGCTGTGATTACAGGAACAGGAATCAGTGATTCAGTGAATTCCCGAATCCGCTTCTCCAGCTTGGCACCAATCTTGCACGTTTCGGCTTCCATTGTTCGCCAAGTGCTTCTTGGATCTTTCTCCGAGACATTTTGGACGCGCCAAATCTTTCAGCCGTAGACGGCGAATCCCCATAGTGGTGGAGAGACTAGTATTCGGGAAGTCCACGAGACCGCGACGGGCTTTTGAGTGTCGGGTTTTCGGATATCTGGATGACTTCAGGTGCTGTAGGCGTGTGTAGCCGGAGCTCTCTAGCCTAGAGGTATGGGCTGGATGTTGCAACCTCAATGCCCTGATAAACGACGTAGCATCAACCTATAACAAGCTTCTTTGGTGGGACACTGAGGAAGATGGGACACTGAGGAAGAGGGCTCACAAAGACCCGATAGAATGGTGTTGGGATGGTGGGCGAGCACGAACTGTGGTTGCGAGGTTGCGACGGACGACAAGCGAGAGGAGCGAAAGGAGGGAGTTCTCCGCGGGACGTTCGCGGACAGGGGAAAGTTTGATAAGCTCCCTTCCATTGGCCCTTTCCCTGCTCCCGCTCAAGAACTTGCAATCCGTAATAGACCGCTGAAGAAGGTTCTTTGGGGGTATGAACAAAGGTGTATAATTGGATAATCTGCTAACTAACGGTGTGTCACTGTGACTATGGAATAAATACCAGTACCTAATAGTCTATGCGTATAGGCGCACCTTCTACAAGGCTCCCTTCCTTCCTAAGGGTGCTACTGTATGCCTAGAATTTGCTAGTTATATATCCTAATGAAAAATCTATCTAATATATCGTAAATATTAATGTCTATTTCCTATACATTCTATTTCCGCTATTCAATAGTACTATTTGCGTGTTGTATTCGCATTTCTTTAGACGTACTTAAAATAGAATAGTTGGTTGCGCTTTTACGGTACTGGTTATATACGCTGTACTAAAGTAGGTTGTATTCTTAATACTTCTTAAATTTCTGTAATGTTGAACTAGTCTAATTATAATAATATTAATTGAGCAAGCTAGTCCAATTAGGTAGTAAATATATATAGTTAATGTCTAACAGTTATATATTAGTACTATAATATTCTAATAGAGGCCTTCTTAAATATTAAAATACTGACTAAAATTCTAAATATTCCCGCTAATATTCCGAGTACCCAATAGACAATAATTCCAGCTCCTCGAACTAATATATATACTAGTTTCAAACTACTAATAATAATAATAGTTGCTCGCTTCCTAGTATTATTATATATAATCTCTATACGTATTTCGCCGTTAGTCGCGGACTAATTATTATTTAATTATTGCGAATCCCGGTTAATTTTATTTAGTATATATTTTAACTAGTCTACGTTATTATTATTTAAAAGTAATTTAAATTCGTTAGTAAATAAGGTTCGGTATTTATTTATTTAATAGAGCAATTATTCTACTATAATCTTTTTTATTTTAATTGGTTTTGTGCGCGCTGGCCTTTAGTAAATAATATTACTATATTTATTTAATTAAATGCGGTCCGGATAATTATAGTATTTTTCGATCGTTACTATAAATTATATTACCCTAATTAAGTTTTAATGAATCATTATTATACTATCTTATTTAATTATATAGATTAGCCATATTCGCTCTAGAAGGGTAATCGTCAATTTCTTCTTAGTATTTATATTTATTGGAATTTTAATCAGTTTCTATACTTTAGTGCCGGGTGCCCGAATTAAAAAAAATTTATCGTTCTATTTTATAATAATTAATTATATCTATTCGGCCTTAAAGTTTTTGAATATATAGTATAGGTCCTTAGTATAGAAGAAGTAAGTATAGTTCGTAATTACGATAATAAAATAGAAATTTAAACGATATTATTAGAAGATGTAGTTTCTATATAAAGGTTATCCTGACAGCGGAGTAAAGAAATCGATTTCTTTAATATAGCGCTCTAGCGTAGTACGAACGAAATATAGAATATATTTGTTAATATATAATATTATAAATTGCCGCAACTTATAGATCGGGCCCGGTTTTAAATATTTCCTCTCTAGTGTAGTTAATAATAATAATCGACAGTATATATACAATTCTCTTTTCCTGGGGACTATGATTAGAGTTAATTCCCCACGTACTAGGATAGCAGTCTAATTAATATATAAGTTACCAGTATAAATGCTTAGTTTGTTTAGGTTTTCCGAGACTATATCGTCGCTATTATTATTATTATATTCTTAAAAAGAGCATTTATCGTATGCGTTGGATCCTTCTATATTTTCTATTATATATTAGTGAGGCCGATATGATTGGGGTGATTGTAATAAACTGTATATTACCGTAGATAGTAAAGAAAAGACTGCGACGTAGTGGTAAAATTAATGGAATTAAGAGGCGATCGCCTATGATAAACTATATCTCGCCGTAAGTAATAAAAAAAAGGAACCGGAATTAACCGCAAATGTATATAGCGAATTGAAATAATGATATAATGCTAAATAAGAGTACCGACCTGGAAATATCCTAATAGTATTAACAACGCCGACCGACGATGACGTTTTCGAGGAAAAGGTGAGACTATAGAAAAGGAATTAGGTTATAATGCGTTAAAATAATAAAACCCGCTTCTTCCTTCCTTCTTTTATTATTTATTATATTAAATACCTATTGCCCCTCCTTTTTTCTATCCTATTTTCACTACTTTATCCCTCCTTCTCCTCTTCCTATTTTATAATTTCGCTTTCTTTTTCTTACGTCCCTCTTTCTCTATCACAGGGCTGGCTGTGACGTCTATATAGTGCGTGCATCCGAGTTCTGTCTAGCGAACAGAACATCGTTCCATCTTTTAGTGTCTTAGTGTAGGCAGTGCACGCCTTGCTCCGTAATAGTATATTCTGTTCCACGGTGGAGGTCGTAGGTTCAATTCCCCCATGTGTCAATTGATTTGGGCTTTGGTTCGCCCTTCTGTGTCGCTCACGGTGCGAACCATTGCAGAGACCGTCAATGCAGAAGCGCGGAGACCATTCAATTGAAGCGACTATCCCATTGGAACCAATTGGTTCAGGTGGTACTATATAGATTACCTTCGTGACAATGTTACCTCCCTTGGGCCGGAGCCTCTTGATGTCAAATAACATCGCTTTGAGGGAAGGTAGTGTCACAGGGCTGGCTGTGACGTCTATATAGTACGTGCATCCGAGTTCTGTTTAGCGAACAGAACATCGTTCCATCTTTTGGTATCTTAGTGTAGGCAGTGCACGCTCTGCTCCGTGATATTCTCCTTAATAACTTTTAATCCTTCGAGTAGGTTAATTTCTTCTAATACTACTAATACTATTTCCTTTACTTACTCTGCCTCCCTTTTTAACTTTATATTCTATTATAATCCTATTTCTCTTAATAACTCTACTTCTCTTATTTTGTCTACCTCCTATAATTTAATATTATTTATATAAACCTTTTGTACCTTCTTCCTTATATTCGGGTCTACTACTCTCATTAATATTTGTAATACTACTTCGATTATTTCCTATAGCCCCGTCTATCTTAGTATAAATATAAGCGCCCTCGCTCTATTATCTGACCTCTTTAATTTATCCTTCTTATATATATATCCTAATTTTATATTTCGAATCCCTATAATTAACTCCTATACTATATCTCCTATTATATAAGAGTTTCTAAATATAATATCTTCGGCTTTATTTACCCGGCTTTTATTCTAATCTTTACGAATTATTTCTACTTCCTCTATACGTAAACCCTCCAAATCCTCCTTAGTTAAGTTCTTATTATT